GGTGGCCGGTCTGTGGGGGTGGCCAGTCTTTGGGTGACGGACGTTAGCTAAAATTCATCTTATCTGCTCCAATTTCTTATGTACTCTTCTTCCCCACTTTATACTAGGATAATTCCAAGGATGTGAAACTACCCTGAAGACAAATAAAGAGCAAGATATTTCAAGAGCATATTAAGACTAGAGAAGAAAAAATACATATGTGGGGTTAATATCAATTGAAACTCATATTATTATATATTGTTACAAGTTGTATTATGTTGACTTGTTGAAAAGTGGTATAACCTATTTTTAGTATCATTAAAAGTTGATCTAGCATACTTCAATACAAGGCAGAATTGTAATTTCACCTTACTTAATTTTATTACTGTAAACAAATATAGACATATAATATGCATGTTATGAATAGTATGCAGAGGTTATGTCCTTATATCATATTGCCCTGGTTTCCTTCTAGTTGCCTTTCCAATGCTAGTCTCCAGCTCTCAAGGTCCCTGACCTCAAGTCCCTCGATCTTCGCTTCGTCATCCCATACCCTCAATTGGCACATTTCCTTACACCACTTATCAGAACCAAACTCATCCCTCTCATCATCACTCATTGGTCCGCCTTGATATGCAAGACTCTTCTTGCTTGCATCGGAAAGCTTTTCCAAGTACCCTTTATCCACTGCACACAGATACCGCTTAGCAGCAACATGTGATTCCACCAGACGCGCAACCTTCGGAGAAAAACCCAGCGCAAGAACGAATTGCGCACCTAGCGTCTCGTGCCCGACTCTACCAACACTGGTCCCTGTTGCTTGTCCGCCGAGGTTTCTAGCTTCCCCTCCAGTGAGCTTGCGGAGGTCTTTGGCGGGTGCATATTGACCAATGTCGTGGAGCAACGCGGCAATTTGTGTGGCTTCGTCCACTGGTGGTGAAGCAGATGCTGCTTGGGCAGCGCATTGGAGAGAATGCTGGAGTTGAGAGATAGGTTCTCCAATGTAGGGTGTGTTTTCAGAGGCTTGGAGAACTGATATAACGTACTCGGCTACGGAAGATGGCGTTGGGATTGTTGGAAGTTCCATGACTGCGTTGACTATCGTAGAACTTTGAGGGAGGAGCAGCCACAGGTTGAAATGAAGGGTTGTATGATGGGAAAACAAGTGCAAGTTATAAACTAACCCTTGAAACTTTGACGCCTTCACGAGTATTACTAGTCAAGGCGACTGGCCATTCCTGGCCTATACATTGACCATGCCCAACCAATAGATTCAGAGCCAATGATTGCCTCTGCGTTGCATATCCACGAAATTCCTAAGATTTTCGGCTCTCGGTTCTCGCCTGTCGTTTACAGTGGGTCACATAGGCCCTGCATCCAGGCTAGCCATTTACCTCTTAGTACACTCTAGTGGTGAAAGGTCCCTCTATGTACTCTGTAGGCTGTAATGCGTTGAACTCTCTAGTGCAGCCTGCGGAAATGCTTATGTGGAGTTAGTTCATTGACATGGTTAATTTGGTGGATGATGTATGCCACGAGATGCATCTGTTGCTCAGGATATTACAGACCTACAGACGAACGTCATATAGATATCACGTTGAGACATCAGGCTTGAGCCTTGCGGATCACGTCTAGTTCGCCTTCGGATACATTGAACAGTGAGTTTTGTTACAGTTCAATTAAGCATCAGGAAAAAGACTTCATGAAACCCAGGTGATTTATAGTAAAGAATAACAGGCTGTCGTTCTTACAAGATACTGCCACTTAAAATGTAACCTGCTTTCCAGCGTCCACGCTGAGCATAGGAGATCCAAAACCATAGGTCAACGCTCCCGCTTTATAAGACTTCCCAGCCTTTCGCATATGTGTTGCCGGCCATTCCTGCTTTCTATGCTCGTAGTAACCCTGGCGCAGACCCCCCTCGCAAGCTCGATTGTAAGTTGCATAGATCGCTTTGCGGTCTGAGCTACTCTTGTTGGCACCGCTGCGATGCGCCAGGTAAGAAGTGAAGATTAGTAGCTCGCCTTGTTAGAGGTCAGTGATTGTAATTTAGATGTGAAACATGGGTCACTAACCAGCTTCTAGTTCAACAGACGTCCAAGTGTGAGAGTCAACCCAAGTCGACTCAATGCAGTTGGTAGCCTTGTTGATAGGAACATCCATCTCATGGCTTCCATCAACAACCTCAAGCCCTCCATTGCGAATATTGGAAGGATCCACACTCAGTAGAATCGTCAAGTGCTTGACATCCTTGATGTGCGTGTAAGCAACAGCATCAATGTGAGGTGCGAATCCGCCTGTCAAGTTGTCAGTTTCGGACAAGGATAGTGTATGTGACAATAGTCAGTCATACCGCTACCGGCAAGTTTATAATTAATCTTCTCCTTAAACAAAAGCATAGGCTCTTCTGCGAGATCATTCAGAAGACCAAGCAGCTTCGTGCTTCGTAGGAGATTGCTGAAACCTTTGTGACAATCGGCAAAGTTCTCAGTTCGGCAGAGAACAGTGTGGCCTTTGTCATTGACCTCCTAATTCACAATTAATTTCTTCTTGCCAAGTCATCAGTGTTTCAGTGGATCTCCAACCTCGTAGGGCATGAATTCTGAATCTTCAGTCGGTTTCCAGTTTCGAACTTCTTCCGCCCATGATTGAAGGTCTTTGACTTGGCCAGGCTGCAGTAGGTCACGGACAATTAAGTAGCCATTCTTCTTGAAGAAAGAAATCTGATCATCGGTGACTACCATGTTAAAAGGTTGAGTGTAATGAGTATAAGCAAAAAGTCTGGATGTTGACAAGTAATAAGAAGGTCTTGATTTTCCAGTTGTATTTAGCGGAATAATTGGTTTGATCAAGTAACATCCATATTTATATTTATCGTTATGCTTTTGATCCCCAACTCGCCTTGAAATATGTGTCTCGTGAGCTCCATGCGCATTCTCATTTGACATCAGCCATGGGTTGCTCGCTACTCGGCTCGAGATAAGATATCTAGTTCTGTCGGCTATCGCTCACTAGCTGCATTAGTCTCCCGCTACGGACACTTTTGCTTTGAGCAATGAGACAGGACAATTACAGCATGTACCCAGATAAAATGGCAAAAATGCAACTGTAGCATGCCGAGTAACCGAGACTAATGCTTTTTCATGACTGCATTCGACCAAATACAGTAGCATGGCCCACTTCAGATCAGACCCCCAGGACCCAAGCTAGAGCTAAGTGCTATTAGACGGGAATTAGGAAGGTTTTGCGGTAAGAAAACATGGAGACCCATACGAGGGTAGACGTTAGATCTTCCTCGGGGTATCGGCAACCGTTCCAAGATATCAAGACTGTCAAGCCCAACCAAACACAAGGACATTGCCCACGTGCACATAATGAGCTATCGGTTCCTGAAGAAGACAAAGAATCTTATCACAGCATCCAATAATGTTCCATTATCAGGGCACGCTGAAGCCTGTCTTTTATCTTTGTTCTATTTCCAACTATGCTGGAATTGGTTGCAGAAGGGTGTTGCAAACCAAGAACATCCTTGGTCCCCAAGCTTGGAGGTGCTGTCTTTGCATGTATAAAAGTTAAAGACCTCTTGGACATGTTCCAAGATAGATGCTTCTAAATAAGATCCTTTTCATACTATCAACTACAAGATTAGGACCATGGATAAGAAAGCTCCTCAAGATACGCCTGCTCCAAAGAGCAATCAAGACGATGAATCCTTCAAAAATGACACTGTTGTCAATTCCACAGACGTTGAAATCACAACCAAGTCTCGCATGTCAACCATCACAACAGTACTGACAAGCGGACTGGCTCTGTTCTCCGATGGATATAACGCGCAGATCATCGGATACATGAATCCTGTCTTTGCCAAGTTATACCCTGACAGCTTTTCCAGCTCGATCAAGACTCGACTCTCCAATGCATTCCTCATCGGCGAGGTCCTCGGTATGCTCTTCTTTGGCTACGCCATTGACAGACTTGGCAGACGGACTGGAATTGTGTTTGCGACCGTATTCTTGGTGCTGGGTATCATAATCGCGACTGCGGCACATGGCAAGACTGAGTTGGGCATGTTCTGGATGATGATTGTTGGCCGAGGTGTTGCAGGATTTGGTGCTGGTGGTAAGAACCGAAAAGGGACTTGATTTGAGAAAAAGATTTAACTGATGGCCTCGATAGGAGAATACCCGACTTGCGGTACAGGCAGTACCGAAGCCTCTGACGAAACTTCCTTTGTTAGACGCCGACGCGGACTCTTAGTCGCTGCTGCAACAGACTTTTCCATCGATCTCGGATTTGTTATGGCAGGTGTCGTAGCATTGATCGTCCTCGCAGCGTATCATCAACATGTCGGTGACGGTGTCTGGCGAATAAACTTTGGCATCGGATTTGTCCTGCCAGTAGCTCTTCTGTTTCTTCGACTTCTTCAGTTTGACTCAACGCAATATAAGAAACATGCGATCAAGCATGACATACCATATCTGCTCGTAATCAAGAGATATTGGAAGCCAATGCTTGGAACATCACTAGCCTGGTTCTTTTACGACTTTGTGGTAAGCACAGTGCTACAAATACACAAGCTGAGCCTCGGCCTTTATACTGATGTATGCCACAGACATATCCATTCGGAATCTTTAGTTCGACAATCATTGCTACGCTGAATCCCGATGACACCCTTCAACAGAATATTGGATTTGGTACAGTTGTTAACTGCTTTTACCTCCCTGGCTGCGTTGTTGGAGGACTACTCATGGACCGCATTGGTCGCAGACAAACGATGACTCTGGGCTTTCTCGGCTGGACAATCCTAGGCTTCATCATCGGTGGTGCGCTTTCCCCGATCCAGTCCGTGTTCCCTTTGTTCATCGTGCTGTATGGCATCTTCAACGCACTCGGAGAGATGGGCCCTGGTGTAAGTCCTAACCATTGACAGTACAGCTACCTGGAGACATGCTAACTATAAAAAAGGTCGCCACGTTTCTCTGTGCTGCAGAATCTTTCCCAACACCTCTTCGAGGACACTTCTTAGGCTTTGCGGCAGCAATGGGCAAGGCGGGAGCGGCGATTGGAACACAGGCCTTTACACCTATCCAAGACTCTTTTTCCGATAAGCAGCGAGGTATTCAAGCGGTGTTTCTCATCGGAGCTGCCTTTGCTGCTGTCGGTGGACTTGTTGCCTGGTTTCTGATCCCAGATAAGGACAAGGAGCTCGAGAGCGAAGACGCGCAATTCCGGCTGTACTTGGAGCAGAATGGATACAAGGGTTCTTTTGGTGACACATTGAAGGACTAAAAGTGGTATCTTCAATGTGTCGCTACCAGACAAGAGAACAAGATCTCGCTGAATCATATGAGAATGTGCAGGTCTTGGGTACAATTAGCTTCCGCCCTGTGGCAAGATTACAAAGTCAGGAAAAATACGAACAAAGATAAAGGCACTACCTAATACAAGCTTACTTTTTGAATTAATTTCTTATTTTAAATATTGAGCGAGCGATGAAGCTGGGAACCTTATTGGTCCACCTAAGGGGAAATCTCAACGCTATTGGGGCGCTATTGGATGCCACGACCATTGATCGCGCTAAGTCGCCAATAGTTATCTGTATGCCCCTGAGCCACTTTCCAGTCGTCTGCTGAAATAAAACTGGTGAATGTCCTGTTTTTCCTCATGTTGTTGATTCCCCCTTGGTTCATCCGGTTTTACAAAGCCTCCACCGTCGTTTCCCTTGTTTTTGCTTTCGTTTTTGGAAGCCTGCCAAAATGGTTTCCAATAAGCTAATTGCGGCTGCGTTTGCAAACCTGGCCTTGTTAGCTTCTGTGAATGCAGGCCCATGTAAGCCCCAGAGCATCGCGACCTCTGCCACTGACATTGGCTCTACAATTCTTGTGTCCGATACTACCACTGCCCTTTCCACTGCCATCGAGACCAGTACTGCGATCAGTGAGACCGAGACGGCAACCGAGACAGAGACAACTACCACGTTGACTGAGGCTGGAACAACTACGAGCGCGTCCGTGAGCGAGGCGTCAACGACCATCGTCATCAGCGAGAGTACTACAGTCGTCAGTAGCAGCGACACTACACTAGTCACCAGCAGTGAGGCTACTACATTACCCACCACCACCGAAGGCACAACGACCGTGGCCGAGAGCGCTACAACCACTACAACCGCCGAAGCAGAGCCAACAGAACTTCTCATCAACGGCAACTTCGACCTCGGAACAGTAGACCCCTGGCTATCGAGCAACGATGCCATTCAACTTGGCTCCTCCTCGCCCTACCAAGGACCAGTTTACGCACTCCTCCAGTTCGGAATATCTGATGGTGCATCTTACAACAACTACGTATATCAAAAGATCGACAAGTCTCTTCTCAAAACAGGCGTCTATCACTTCTCTGCTCAGGTCCGCGTTGATTTTGCGACTAATACCCAGTTTGGCGACGGGTGCAACGCAATGAGCATAGGCTGTTCCTATGGGGACCCTAATAACTTGGTTCGTGTCCAGGGATCCACGGTAACAGTCGCCGCAGATGATGCTGCTGGTCAATGGAGCCCTCTGGATACTACTTGTTCACTTACGGAGGATAAGCTGTCTCAGTATGGGTATGTTAGTGTTGCGATTGGATTTAGCTGCGCCAACGCTGAGGCCAACGTCGATGCGGTGACATTCGAGGAAGTTGTTTAGTGTTTACTAATCAATTTGTAATGCGTATCATACACCAAATTGACTATTTTATTACTCCGTAGCGCTTCCATGGTTCCATACGCTCTGTCAACCCTTCAGGTTCAGGTTCATCTGTGTTCCTTTCTATTGATAAGTCCATTTCTTCTGGACCACGCTTTGGCTTCACCATGAGTATTGCCATCATTCGATACTCATCAATCTTTGATGCCCATATTCGCATTTCAGACTCGACTGCAAACACGAGTGAGAATTTTGATTTGTCGCTATTGTCAGCACCCCATTGGACCTCGCATACATGTGTATCTGCTTGCATTAGCGACTGAAATGAGGGGGAAAGGATGGGGACATACCGTGTTGGGAAGTCGGGGTGACTGAGAGAATGTGTCTCAGGTAGAATCGTCCCTTTAGTAGAAACTTTGTCTGTTTCTGCTCAGATAGAGATTTCGACCTGTAAAATGACCGCTCTCCTGTAGGTTCACCACGGGTCTCTTTGCACAGGAGAAGCATGTTCTGGAAAAGATATGCATGGTACTATTTTAACGATGTTAGAAGTAAAAGCGGACTATTCGTCGGACAGCCTACCAGATTGGTCTTGGAACTCTTCGTCACATAGAGTGTCTTAGAGAGAATCAACTCACCAAGAGCATCTGGATCAATGCCCTTCCAGTCCTCTATCTTTTGTTGAAGCTTTTGAACAGCTGCCTGTGTATCCTCAGATATGGCGTTGTCCTGCAGCCGAACAACCAGCCTCGAAACAGAAGATCGAGCCATGCTGCCATCATTCTTCTGCTCTTCTGTGACGATCGGCTGGGCTTTCAAGTACTTAATGGTGTTGGTAAGTAAGTATCGGGAGTCGTGGTAAAATTAGATCATACCTCCAAGAATTCAAAGAGTGCAGAGATTCGTTTGGCTCTCATGGGCAGGATATCGAAGCATCTTCCCAGTAGGCTTCTTGTCTTATCCTTATCTCTGAAATGCCCTTCTTTCAGCCAAAGTTGTATGCTGGTTCTGTTAAGTTTATCGTTGGCATATGACGCAGCTTCAACCTCGATATATCTAAAAAGATAACCAAATGCTGAAGCCCATTCCTGATCGGCCGATGGACGTAACAGGTTCCCTTCCATAATGAGAAGCAATGCGATCTGTACATCTGCGAGTACTCTTAAGCCTTGAAATATTGGGTTCATATACATCTCCAGTTGGTCCTTGATCTCAAGGAGTTCAATGACATCCCGGACGAACTGACGCTGCTCGTTGACCAGCTTTCGAATCTCTGGGGGCTGGACGTCGACTTGTGCTTTAGCTGAAGACAAATCGTTCATAGGAAGACCAGTGATTACGAGGTTCTTGGTGATACTCGAAATGAGTGAGATTACCTATATCACGGTCAGTAATTACGTCATGCTTCAACGTCACCACATGGCTTTACCCTGAAAATGCCATACTCGTTACCCCACATCAGGTCCTGGACTGTGATCAAGTTGCTTGTTTCTATATCCAATCTGTCGTGACAGAACTGAGCAAACCATAAGACTAGCTCTTTCCTGACATTGTCGGTCAGGTCCTCTGGTAGACCGACATCCAGGAGAGTTGGGTCCAAAGCCTGAGCAAGGATCACGAGTGGCATAACCTCCTGAAGAACTGACCAGAGGTGAAAGAAGTCGTCAAGGGGGTGAGGGATTTCGTCAAAGTACCTTTGCATCCCCGGTATCGTGAGGAGCTTAAGCTTGATCTCGAGGCATTCTATCAGTAAAGGCTGGTCCATAACTGGCCCAGGTGTTCGACCATTGAGAGCAGCTTCTTCTCCGAAGTCATAGTGCTCAGCATTAGTGATATCATCCTGATACACAGGCAATGCGATGACAGACATGATGGAGATGTCTCCTAAACTCAGGCCTGAGAAGACAGACCAGTTGTGAGATCTTGCAATCGAGCTTCGGAATGAAAAGTCCATGGTTTCTCTCACTGCGCGGCGATATACACGTGATGACTCAAGGTCATCCTCGAAGTCAAACTTGGATATAGCAAGGCTGGTATCGGTGCTGATTGATGTAGCTGGTGATGCCGCAGTTGATTGCTGACTTGTGTTTTGAGATGGAGATGCACTCAGTGAGAGAATGCTCATGCGCCTTGAAATAATTGTCTGAGCATCCAAAGCGTCCTCAATATTCATCAGCCGACGTGACAGGGCGTCGTTGCTATCTAGAAGAACTTTGACATTATTGGAGAGCTGCTCCTGATGTTCTTTTGCGGTTTCACCAGAGTCACTGAGAATGAGTCAGATATTGTCCCAGTAATTGCACGATAAACGCACCTTTGCAGAATCATCAAGACAAGTGTCATTGAGCTTTTGAAACTTTGCAGCCTATTGAGAAGAGTAACAAACGTACTCTCCTTCCATACCCACTGCAAACGACCTCTAAGCGGCACCTTTTCCGCGCCATCTTTCGCCCGCAATGACTGAAGTTCCTTATGCAACTCCGAGTAAAGAAGCACCCCATCTGTGAGGACCGCCACGACCTGATTCACCCCAATGAGCGCGGCATGCTGAACCCTAACTGACCCAAGGTTCTTGGTCAGGCTCTGAAGCCCCATCAGTATGACCTGGGTGCTCTGGACTTCAGAGTAGACATGAGCCGCGACCTGCGGGGTCTCTTTCGCTGCCGAGACATAAGGGCTGAGGAACTTGACAGCCTCTACTGTGATTGAGATGAGTCCTGCGATGGAAGCGGCGACACTCAACGGATCGGACATCGTGGTGATGAGATGGTTGAGGTTGGAGAGTCGCGAGAGGAAGCCTGAAACACCATTATTGATTATTGAGGCTGTGTCGAAAATGCCAAGCCCAGTTCAGCCCTGCGGGGTTATGTAATCAAGATCGAGATTTCGATGAAGTCATTAGTTGAAAGAAAACAGACATCAGTGGTGCCTTCAGTATTTGGAAACTCGCCTTGGGAAACATCTCAATGAATGTATAGAAGTTTTATTTGTAAGTTGACCTTGAACATGATCATTGGCTGTCTCTGTTACCATACTTGACGCAGCCTGGGGCTTGGCTCGAGATAAAACGAGGATCTGCAGGGATTATACCCTGTAATAGGTACTTATCCAGTGGCCCTCTCCCAAGCATTGTCAGGCTGATCTTGTGCCAACAAACACTTAATGGGGCTAGCATATGTATGGAATTGACATATTCTTGTTAATATAAGCAGTCGCGTAGCCTTTTCGGCAAAGACACAAGATAAACCTGGCATGCGCGTGGGCTTGACCTCTAGGATGTACATTGCAAGTATTCGCCTTACACGTCAGTTATCGTAGCAGTGCCATGTAAGAAACAGTAGTATCGCTTCCCATGATATCAAGTACAAATAATAGATTTATCATTACCCTATGTATTCAATCTCTGTCTTTTGCAAATAGGGAGAGTCTTGCTGTCACGTACATAATATAACTTCTATAGGTAGTACTGTATAACAACAAGGGACATTTTCAGAACGATCTATAGGCGGAAATTTACATAAGTTCAATGTCAGCAATTGGCTATTAAATACGGCATCTTTGCATACCATTGCGATATTGGGTTTAATTAGTGAGAAAATTAATTCTAAGCATGAATTCTCGATAAGCTCGTGCGCCAATCAGAGCACCCTGGCTCGGATATTCGGCAAGTGAGCGGCAGTAGCATGCATGCGCCGTCACCAGATTAACGGCTAAACAGTGCCGAAACCTAGATCTCGTGGCTCGGGAGATCGCTTGTTCTGGAAGGTCGAGATTAGGCTTGATAAGATGGGCTTCTGCAGCTTAATCTGTGTGATACAGCATGTACCGAAATGAATAATACGGGAGAGTGTAAATTTAAATCTTGACGAGACGGTTGAAGCTTTGGCTTAAAGAGAAGTATGTTTGTCTGCCTTGTGATTCCGTCTGGCCAATGTAAGCAAGACACTGTCTTGTTTCACAAGCCCGGGATGACCTAGAGATCGACAGTACCCACTGCCCACTGTCGCCTGACTCCCGCGCTGTATTGGCTAATCCTACCTCCGGATCATCAGGAACCTTTGGCATTACAAAAGATCTCCCCCTTTAATCAGGAAGGTGGCATTAATCTTTCACAGCGATAAGACAATTTGTTAACTTTACTGGTATAGTATACGGCTATAGGAGAAGGTATGGAATGCGGGCTATCCGGGGATATGGTAGCGCCCGATCGAGACCGCCTAGATCTATATATATGTAGTTACATCCTCCCGTCTTGGCAGTATTTCTCTTGTACAACCACGGTTCTTCCATTCAAGTTCGATATCCTCAATCATCATGAAGACAGCTTTGTTGAGTGTCCTCACGGCGCTTGCCCTTGTCGGCCAAGGCAGCTGCACACCTGCAGCCAGCCTCGATAAGAGGTACTTGCAAGAAGACGGCGGTATCAAGTACAAGGTCTTCGAGCACGCTGCTACTGGCTCCAAGACCAAGATTGTTTCGAACTCTGGAATTTGCGAGACCACACCTGGTGTTAACCAGCACTCTGGCTATTTCTCCGTTGGTAAGTACCTTATTCTCATCAATCCCCTTGGCAGTTCCTGACTGGTGATTTCTTCAGGGGACAATATGAACATGTTCTTCTGGTTCTTCGAGTCACGCAAGGATGCCAAAACAGCTCCACTAGCCCTCTGGCTCAATGGTGGACCCGGCTGCAGTTCCATGATCGGCTTGTTTCAGGAAAATGGACCCTGTACCTTCAACAACGGAGGGTCCAAGCCTACTCTGAACCCCAACTCATGGAACACCTTTGCCAACATGGTAAATCCAACCCCCTCTCCAGAAGTACAATGCACTGACCGTTCAAGCTATATGTCGATCAACCCATCGGCACTGGTTTCAGCTACGGCACCGACGACGCTGTATCGACTCTCGCTGCTGCTCCTCGAGTCTGGAATCTCCTCCAGGCCTTCTACGCCCAGTTTCCCGAGTATGAGAACCGCGACTTTGGTCTTTTTACCGAATCTTATGGCGGTCACTACGGTCCTGAGTTTGCGTTTTACTTTGAGCAGCAGAACGCTGCTATTGATGCTGGAAAGATCAAGGGCGAGAAGATCAACCTCGTAGCCCTTGGCATCAACAACGGCTGGATCGATCCTGGTAAGGCCTCTTGCGCCTTTAGACCCGGTTCCAATGCTGACACGTAACAAAGGTAACCAGTATAGAGATTACATCGACTACGCCGCCAACAACACCTACCGAAAGCTCATCACACCAACTCAGTACAGCAAGTACCTCAACACATACAACCAAAAGTGTGTCCCTGCGTTTGCCAAGTGTCCAGGTCTCACAGGCAACGATGCCGCTTGTGGTAACGCAGACGACGTCTGCAGCTCGGCTATCGAGAGCCCCTTGGAGAGGCTTGCAGACTTTGATGTCTACGACATCCGGGCTTCGAGCAATGACCCTTTCCCCCCGGCGACTTACTCCACCTATCTTACATCTGCGTCTGTGATGAATGCCATTGGTGCGCAGTCTGACTACCAGGAATGTGGTGATGATTCTTATAACAAGTTTATCGCGAGCGGTGATAGTATGTTTCCATTTTAGCTGTATACGCCATTGTGACTAACGAGTCCTTTACAGGGGGACGATCGTTCTTACCGACACTTTCGCAAGTCATTGATTCAAAGATTACAGTTCTCATCTGGGCTGGCGATGCTGGTAAGTTGACCTGACTCCCGTGATCTATACCCTGTCGATCTAACAATATCTAGACTGGATTTGCAACTGGATGGGTAACTACAGGGCCCTCAACTCAATCGCCCCTCAATCATTCGTCTCAGCTCCTCTCAAGTCATTCACTGTCGGTGGAAAGAAATACGGAGAATTCAAAACCTCTGGAAACCTGAGCTGGCTGCGAGTTTATGGCGCTGGTCATGAAGTTCCAGCCTACCAGCCCGAGGCTGCGTTGGCGGCGTTCATTGCGACCATGTCCAAGAAGCCTATCTCATCCACATAATGGATTATGCTGGTAGCATTTTATCTCGGATATCATGAATTGAATATTTCACTATAGCTGGGCTCAAAGAAAATGGTGGCCCATGTTTGAGAACTGCTTTCTTCTTGCTACAGAACCTATGCTAGGAACAAGAAATCTGTCAGGGCCGTATGAGACCGCATTCAAGCCCTGCCTTCAAAGCAGCCTGTCGCATCTCCAGTTGTTCTTCTCTGGTCGGAGGAACTGGCTCTACTCCACGCTTCTCTCTAGACTCCCTGGTCTCATATAAAATTGGTCCTTCATCCTCGTCATGCGAAATCGTATAAGAGCGAACCTCTGCATTGGCCCAATCCGTGCCTATTGAAGTTAGCACCCAGACAGCTAAATAACAATGGCAAAAACATACCATCTGGATTAATAACGTTCACCCAGTCGTCCGTGAGGAAATGTAGAAAGCCTCCATGGGAAACGACCACGATTTCTCTCTCAGGCCTTTCGCTCAGCCATTGCCGTGCTACCTCGGCCCTTTTTATGAGACTCCCTATGGCGGGTGCCCATTTTCCTTCCTGCACATATGCTTCGTCAACATCTTTGACCATATTACGCACAGAAAACGTAATTACACACCTTGATTTGCCAACCTGGCTCGACCAGACCGAAGTCAACCGGTTGATGTTCGAACTCTGCCTTTATCGCAGAGAGATCACTGCCGGTGTCACAGTTCAAATCGCTGACTTCTTGTACTTCTGGTAAGGCCACAATCTGTAACCCGCGCTCGAGTTGAGTGGGAAACGCTAGCAGGGTCGTTTGGAGCGTGCGTCGCAGTGGCGATGACACGATCAGGTCAACATTGGCAAGCCCAGGGAACTTGGATAGCAGGCCTCTTGCTTGCTCTTCTCCCAGAGGTGTCAGATCGGTGTCGGGCAGAACTAAGTTTGCTTCGCCTAGGTTGTGAACGGCTTGGCCGTGACGCACGAGATGAATAGTCTGCGGCATGTTGTATTGTCCTTCTCAAGCTAATGAAATGGTTGTAACTGGGATTTGAATGCTGTTTGAGCTTCATCTTCAGTGCACTGGTCTATTTATACAAGGCAACTCGATAAGCTTTAGAAGTGGGGGACTGTGTCGTTGGCATTGACCAACAGCGTCCGCGGGCTCCGTCCGTACAGACTAGCCATCGAACCCTGCCTCGGACTCGGATCCAGCCTCGCAAGGGATTCCTTCATTGCGCGTTCTCTATTTTTATTCTGGGGCTTGTTAATTCCCCGGATACGTCATTGCTGCGGCCCTACTGGCAATATGAGGGCGGTTGAGAAGTACCTGCTGGCCATAGGCAAACTCTACCAACCAATTGAACAGACTGCATCTTAAAGCCAATGGCATGCGTCACTTCCCAGTCAGATATTCAATCATTATGATAATATGTATAGAAATGAATGTTATTTTAGTCCATGCAAGTACATGTCAGCACAGCTGGTTTCATAAGTATTATTTTCTATCTTATTTTTAAAAACGCCAAATCACCATTCATCATTCTTTGAAACAGTATGGCAACCAATTCCTCCGATAAAATCCCTCGCAGCAGTCTCATTATCCACAATCTTGAGGTTGCTACCCGCACGCTCAGCAGTCTTCATTTCCAAAACACCCACCGGGTCTATAACGACAACAGTCCTCCCATCAAGCAGCAATCGAGTAATGTCCGCCTGAATAATCTTTTGCGCCACTGCATTGAACGAGAACACATCGCGGAATGAGAACACCACAGCGCACACGAAGCGGCTTCTGCCAGCCCCAGGATCCTTGGGGTTTGGATCACCGAGTTCTCGTGTGATGGCACGGGTCAATCGCTCTGAACCTCCGAAGCGCACGACACCGCGTAGACTGAAGATGATGACTTCTTTGTTGCAGTTTGTGTGGTGTGGCTCGTTGTCGCCTGGGAGGATAGTCGCCACGGATACGCGGACGGTCGCTTGGGCGATCTGACTGACGTCCATCATGTGAAGACCCATGTCGCTGGATAACTGCTCGCATATGGCGACACCGCGTACACTATTTCCCCGTGAGTCAAGCTTGGGTGAAAAGACAGCGATACCCATCTGACCAGGCAAGGCGCCGATGATACCACCAGCAACTCCACTCTTAGCGGGTATGCCAATCCGCGATACCCAGTCGCCTGCAGCATCGTACATGCCACAAGTCGTCATGACAGAGAGGATCTGCCGCACGCTGTCTTGGGGAATGATCTTCTCTCCCGTCGCAGGGTGACAGCCCGCGTTGCAGAGAGTAGCAGCCATAGTCGCCAAGTCTCGAACATTGACGTTAATAGCGCATTGGCGGATATATCCTTGCACGATCTGTTGTGCATCGCCGGTGATGATACCAGCTGCTTTGAGCATGTAACCAATTCCCATGTTACGGTTCGCATCTCGCAGCTCAGCTTCGTAAACTTCTTCGCAGACTCGCAATTGCCGACCTGCCAGCTTCGACATGGCTTTGAGGATACGGTCTGATCGTTGCTCTGCTGTCCAGTCTGGTCCCCCGATGAGAGAGTGTGCTGTGATGGCTCCCGCGTTGATCATGGGATTCATGGGTCTGTTGCTCCCTCGCTCCAAAGACAAACTGTTGAACGCGTCTCCCGAGGGTTCCACGCCAATCTTCTCCAGCACCTTATCCAACCCCGCATCCTCAATCGCCAACGCGTACACAAACGCCTTTGAGATAGATTGCATAGAAAACTCAATCTCGTCATCTCCAGCAGAGTAAATCTGGCCATCCACCATCGCCAGCGCCACAGCTATCTTTGACGTGTCGGCCTTTGCCAGCGTCTCGATGTAACTGGCGGGCTTGCCATCTTCTATGGGCCGCGCATTCTCCAGCACCCGGTTGAGATAGTCGGGAATGGGGGACTTCATCGGACGGAACGGTATGGGCTTGAGCTGCTTTGATGGAGGAGGAGAAAAATTAGTTCTCACCGCTGAAGGCATTATGCGTCACGGGTGATGTCGTAAGCCAAGCTATTTGAATCAAGCTGGACGAAAACGGTCTGTCCAATCACAATGGAGCTTCTGTAGTGAAACCTTTTTGGGAGACTAGTCGAAATCGAGAATGTATCGTAGGGTAGATAGAAGATCGAAGAAAGAATGACTATAAATATTGTATCTGTAGGAAAAAGAAGAATAGTTATATAGACTAGGAAGAGAAATTGGCAATTGGTAAATTTTCATCACATGAGTTCAGACTTTTCACCCACAAAGGTATACTGTATGTAAAATTTACATAACGATAACTATACCAGTCCCTCGCGCAATGTGGTCCGTCGTAGCCGTGACCAACACGACACGCACTAAAGTGTATTACCATTTTACATAATAGGTGATTCTCGGTAAGGCGAGAATGAAACTCTCCATCGGTGAGAATCGGTGAGCGCCTGCATGGAAAAAGGGTGAGTGCGGGGAGACGCGTTTCTCATTCGTTGGTTTCGGTGTCAAAAAAAACATGACTGCCGATGACGGGATCACGGGTATTTTTGGGAGGGTATGCTTGTATTTTTTAGTCTGGAGTGATCCTGTGCGCGCGCGCTAGTATCGAGGGCGCCATTCCGTCTTGGGGCTGTAAGACATCGCTAAACCTCTTTGGAGAGATGATTTCATTATCGATAAGTCTGGAGTCACCTTGGCTCGATAAACTTTCACAGTGAGAGCATAGCGTCTTCGGAGTACACGACAGCTGGCTCACTAAGCCGTTAATCTCATCGTACCCTCCCTTAAGGAAAAAGTCAGATCAGATTTTACTCTGCGGGGTAAAGCAGCTGGCCAATGCTTCTGCAAGAGTCTAGAACCCTACTGAGCAAAAACGTCAGCAAAACAAGCTTTGTTTAGAGTTTTCGATCCCTGCCTTCAGCCCCTGTCAATGTGTCTCATCACTGTAACTTCATTGGGTATCACTACGCCACCACCGCAAACACCAGCGTCACGTTATTATGATCCCAGCCCCTTTGATCGTCTTTTCTGTTCTTATTTCTTGGCTCTTTCTCCTCCTGAGGCCTATTTACACTTTTATTCCACTTAAGCTTATTCAGTATTGAGTATTTGTTTGCTCGTTACTCTGACTGGCGATAATGGCGAGCAACATCCTCCCAGGCCATGGCTCTGGTCACAGAGATGAATCAACCCCGCTTCTGCCGCAGATCTCAAGTCACATTGCTCACGAGGGAGAAAGCGGAAGAAGCGGTTTTCATCCACGACATTTCCTTGCTGTTCTCTGGCGAAGCTCCTGCACCGCGTCGAAATGGGTGAACATCCTGTGGCCCTTTGTCCCCATCGCCATCATCCTTCAGTTCTTCCCTGGCCTGCATCTCTGGAAGTTTGCTACTGCGTATATCGCTGTCATTCCAACTGCCAATCTGCTTGGATTCGCTGGACAGGAGTTTGCGCGAAAGCTGCCAAAAGTAGCTGGTATTCTCATCGAGACGACGTTTGGGTCTATCATTGAGATTATTCTCTTCCTTGTTTTGCTTTCGAAGCATCAAGTTAACGCTCCTGAAGACAACGGCGATGAAGGAAACCTCATTCCAATCATCCAAGCCGCGATCCTTGGTAGCATCCTGACCAATCTTCTTCTCTGTCTCGGCCTCTGTTTCTTCGTTGGTGGCCTCAAGCAAGCCAGCCAAAAGTTCCACGCTATTGTCTCAGAGGTTGGCACAGGACTTCTTCTTGTCGCAGCATTTGGTCTTCTCATTCCCAGTGCATTCTACTCCGCCCTCAAAGCCGAGGTTGTACCCGACTTCCCAGGCTTCCGAGTTCTGCACGAGAAATTCACAGAGGGTAAACTCCAAGACGATGTCCTTCGCATTAGTCAGGCTACATCTATTGCACTGATTATTGCCTTCTTCTTCTACATCTGGTATCAAGCCAGCAGCCAGCATAGCATCTTCGATGAGGTTATTGAGATGGATGAGCACCGAGATGCTGATCGCGAGGCTGATATGGAGAAGCCCAAGTTTACCATGACTGAGACCATTGTTGCTCTGTTGATTGCCCTTGCTTTTGTGACTGCTCTTTTGATCTTCCTTGTTGAGAAGATTGAGCATGTTGTTGAAAGTGGAGTGCCTGATCAGTTCTTGGGTCTCATTCTATTGCCTTTTGTTGAGAAGGCTGCTGAACATTTGACAGCTATTGACGAAGCATATGGTTGGTGCCGTGCTTCACTCATGAAAGTGTCAGCTAACAAATTTCTTAGATGGTGTTATCAACGTTGCTTTGTATCACTGCCTTGGGCCTTCCATCCAGACTGCCCTATTCAACGGCCCCCTTGTCGTTCTCGTAGGCTGGGCCATCGGAAAGCCTATGGACTTGAACTTTGAGATTTTCATGATCGCACTACTTGTCCTGTCTATCTTGGTGGTTGGAAACTTCCTCCGTGATGGCGAGTCCAACTGGCTTGAGGGCTCACTTCTCGTGGTAAGTCAAGGTCAACTTGTAAGGATTCTAGTGACTGACGTTAATAGGTCATCTATGCTATTATTGCTATCGCATGCTGGTACTATCCAAACCCTGACGTGGCTACTTCCAATGGCCTCGAAGGTTCCGAAATGGTCAACGTCACCATGAGTGTTGACACTCTGCGTCAACTGCAGAAACTCATTAATGCACAGCTGCCACAGAATTAAACTGTTTGCTAAGCTTATGGTGATGCAATTTTCAGGCTGCTTGAGAACTTACGTGAGGGTACTTACGTGAGGGTGAAGATGGAAAGTTGTCGCCGAATCAGGGGATTGTCTTGGCGAAGGCTCCCTTGTGAGTTTTTACGCGTTGGATGGACAGTTCGAGTTATCATGTGTTACGGAGATATTGAGATTACTGATCAAGCCTTTTATTTTCGGAGCGTTATTTACAGTATGTCGATTCATGGCCTAGGCTTTTGAACTATTGTTTCTCAATCATCAAAACCTGACTGTCATAATCTCCCTCAAACCTCAATTGAATGCCCAGGTTCATCAGCGTCGAACCAGAAACCGTCTGGTTATTATCCACCTTGTACTTGGCACTAGCATCCAAACCTTGAAGTCGGAACCAGGGCCAAGAGTTGTTGATAGTCGCCCTCGTCTGGAATGCAAATAACACGACCTTCTTACCATCCTCAGAAATGAACTGTCCAGCTGGGTAGTTGGTTTCCTCAGGCAGGGCAAGTCTGTAAAAGTCCCCAGTGATGACAATTGGGTTGATCTTTTCAGAGAGCTCGATAAGACCAGGAATTTGTTCCCTCTCCTCAGGCTCAAGATCGCTAGGGTCAAGTTCAACACCAAAGGAGCCGCCCATCATGGCAACATGGGCTCTGAACTTGACGGACGTTATTCTCTGGGTGTTTCCATTAGGGACATGCGATAGGTGAGCTCCCATGGCAGATGGAGGATAAGCAAGTGACGTTCCGAATTGGATGGCGATACGCTCAACTGCATCTGTATCATCCGATGTCCAGATTTGAGGGAACCACTGAAGAACACCGGGGTCAAATCGGCCACCGCCCGAAGCACAGCCTTCCCAAAGAACATCAGGGAAACGGCTCGTCAAAGTCTCAAAGACATGATAGAGACCCAGCATATACTTGTAGTTGAGAGTAGGATCAGGAGTCTCGTGAATTCCACGGTTGTTATCCCACTTGACGTAGGAGATTGGTGATTCGCGGAGAACCTTGGAAACGAAGTCGATGATGAACTCTTGGACCTCAGGCAAAGCTAGGTTGAGAACCAATTGGTTACGCGTCTCGGTTCGGGGATAAGACCCTGCGTGGATTGCCCAGTCGGGGTGTTTGTCGTACAAGTCTGACTCCGGGTTCACCATTTCGGGCTCGAACCAGATACCGAACTTTAGCTCATCAGAAGAATTGGCGACTTTCAGATCAGTTACATTTTCGACCAGAGGTGTCAATCCGTCAGGGAAGCGTGACTTATCAGGCTGCCAGTCTCCAAGACCAGCTGTATCGTTAACACGTGGATACTTGTTACCGAACCAGCCATCATCCATGACGAACAATTTGATGCCGAGGTCTGCAGATTGTTTGGCGATCTTCTCAATGGCAGTCTCGTTGATATCGAACGCCAAGCCCTCCCAACTGTTGAGAAGGACAGGACGTGTCTCTTCCGCGTATTTACTCTTCATCAAGTGCTTTCTGTACAGGCGGTGGAATTGCCGAGACATGCCACCGACGCCCTTGTTTGAGAAGACTGACACGACCTCGGGAGTGGTGAAGGTTTGTTCGGGTTTCAGTGGCCATGAGAAGTCGAGAGGATTGAGTCCAAGGATGGCGCGGGTGAGTCCCTGGGAGCTCTTCTCAACGTCAACGGCGAATGAACCAGTATAAACTAGAGAAAAGCCCCAAGCCTCTCCTTGAGTTTCAGTAGTCGTTGATGATACGAGAGCGAGGAACGGGTTGTGAAGATGAGAGGAATAACCAGTGGAGCTTTGGAAACTGCAATGCCGTTAGCACTTTGTGTTATTGTTTCACAGAAATAATGCTTACCCTTGTGTTCCAAAGTCCACCTTTCGACGCACGCGCATACCCTCACGCGCCCAATCACCCTTGATCTCAATAAGATCCAGATTATCCTGCTGCAGATCAACACTCCAGCTCGAAACCTTTCTCAGATTAATCGTCGCATTGCCCTGATTCGTGATGTTCACACTCCGCACAATAGCATCATATTCCGGAAAGATCGAATACGAGAGGTCAACAGCAATAGAGCTGTAGTTGTCGTACATGTGCACCACCAAAGTCGACACATCATCAGCCTCACCAAACGTCGACGGAAGACCAGGTAGCCCAGGTTTTCCTTGTACAACCTCATGAGACTTGTATCGAAAGTCGGTGACGGTGGTGCCGCTTGCTTGTTGGAGCTGAAATGCTGGGATGCGGAAGTCTCCTCTGCCGTGGTCGGGGAATTCGCGTCGGACTCGACCGATTAGATTGACCCAGCCTTGGATGGGGCCGATTTCGGTGGTGATTCCATCTTCGGCGACTGGGCCGCCGTAGTGATCGTTGATGAGATCTCCGGTGGTGTTGTCGACGTGGAAGCGGTATGAGACGTTATTGCCATTGAGCGCGAAAGACGTGCCATCGACGCGGATTGCTGCAGACATGTTAACCATTGTTCAATGTGAAGAATTGTAGACTTACGATCTGAAGTCTCCGCGAAAGCCGAAATGACCTGAGAGAACAGCACTGCCGCCGTCGTAATGCCTTTCGATGTAACAAGCACCATCTTGACCCTGGCAAAAGTTGTTTAAACGAAAGTCAAACCTGAGGGGGTTATCCGAAGGGCCCGACATCTTTATAAACCCTCAGAAAAAGATCATCAGTGTAAAGTTCAATGCCACACGGAAAATTCGAGAATCCCAATATGTAGCAACTCGTGATGATCTCGACTCGGGCCGATCTTGAATTGGAGTATTTGTGGAGGAGCAGTTGAACTTGATGATGGTGGACTACCGAAAGATACCCCTTTGAGTCAAGATCGTCATCGTTTGTGTGGAGGATCAGCCCAGATTCCCCAGAATTGGAGATCGTTTGGGTGCATAAACTTGTTTATGACGTTGAGTTTATCCGCGCAAATGATATACCTGACTTGAAAGCATTTCGGCTATAGGTTTTTAGGTGGTAATGCCAATTCATCGGGATATTTACCCAGTCATTCATAAATGTCATTGTGAAAGCTTAAGTTACAGTGGTGAAAGGCCGGATAATTATTCACCCTGACTAATATCCATCCAGATTTCAACATGATTGGTTCAAATTCGAGATGAGGGGAATCAATGACACTGTGAAGGGATTCACGATCTTTGAGAGTTTATTTTCTCAGTTTTAACCTTAAGAAATCTCGGTATAACTCAGCATGGCCCTCAAAAACATCATTCTTCCGTTTCAAGACTCTTCAAAACAATGGGATATCCAAATAGAAGAGGGAGTGGTGACCTCCATGAAGCCTTCTGCTGGCAGGACAACACCAAGCGTAATGCTTCCCTCACTCTGCCATCCTCATATTCATCTCGACAAACCATATCTTCTCACCTGCAACCATCCAAAATCCTCAAACCACCCAGATTACTCTGATCTGGCTCCCAAAACAGGAGGGTTTCAGGAAGCCTTGGTCAATACCGCTGAAGCAAAGAAACGCTACACCGAGGAGGACCTGTACCTACGAGGCTCTCAGTTAATAGCTACAAGTTACAAACAAGGTGTCACTTTCATGAGAGCCTTTGTTGAGGTTGATTCTGTCACTGAACTCAAAACTCTGGAGGTGGGAATCCGGCTAAGGAAGGAATTCGAGGACTTTTTGGAAGTGCAAATCTGCGCCTTTGCACAGGACCCTATATTCTCGGCAGAGAAGGGAGAGGCAAACCGAGCTATGTTTGCGAAAGCTCTTGATCAGCTTGGTTCGAAGATTGATGTTATTGGAACTACACCGTACGTGGAATCTGACGTTGAATCGCAGAATAAGAACATACGTTGGGCCATCGAAACCGCATTGAAACACAGGAAGCACCTTGACTTTCATATCGAATTCAACCTGAATGGCGATGGAACCCACATGTCTGTGTTTAATCATATCATTGAAGAGCTTAGGGCTCTTAAGTGGCCTACATACCCTGGCGCTCCGACTGTTGTTTTTGGGCATGCTACTAGACTTACTCGTGCTACTCACGATGATCTGGTCAGACTTTCAGAAACGCTGAGAGAGACAAAACTGCCTGTTCACTTTGTCGGATTACCAACTAGCGACCTCTACATGATGGGCAGACATGAGTCTGACGGTTCAGGACAGGGTGAACCTCTCAGTCGACCATGCGGTACAATCATGGTACCCAAGCTAATTCAAGATTACGGAATCAACGCCTGCCTATCAGTCAACAACGTCGGCAACCCATTCACTCCCCACGGCGATGGCGATCCTCTTAAGATAGCAAGCTGGGGCGTTGGTCTATTCCAGGCCGGAACAGTCGAGGATGCAAAGATCCTTTACGAAGCCATCAGCACGCGAGCAATGGACGCTTTAAACCCCCGGGCTGAAGGACATCATGACATGTTCACATTGGCGGAATTCCACCAGACGATGCCGATGCTTTTATTCAAGAATGAAGAGTATATCGAAATTAGTTCGGCGAGTGGAAGCATGACGGTTCCAGCTAGGCAAAGGCTTAGCATTCAGGATATAGTTTGGGATCCGCCGGAGACACGACTGAGAAGCATCGTTGAATAGGCTATAGCTAACCCGATCTACATTTGTTCTATCTATATCCTACATAAAGGTCCATCCGGCCTCTCAACCCACTCCTCAGACCCAACACAAGTAGGACAGTAGAAAATATGAGAAGGATCATACTTCCTCTTCGTCTTAAGGTGCTCACCATACAAGCTACCATAGAACGACTTCTTCCAGTCAGGATCATTGCGATCACCTTCATTCATGTAACCGCCAGTGTTGGGAGCCAACTTCTTCGCTGCAGCGCCCTTAACGAACGTGACGTCGTCATTCGCCGCTTTGCGCTCAGCAGTGTTTCCGGTACGAGAAATACCCGTGCCTGAGATGAGAACGTAGTGTGATTTTCGCCAGGCGGGGTGTAGGCCACTTGTCTTGTCTGAAGCGTCTTTGAAAACTTGACCACCCGAGGTGAGCAGAATGACACTTGTGCCAAACTCATCAGGTTTGCCGCTCATGACTTCGACGGCATCTCTGACTTTGTCGAAACTCTTCACGCTTTGACGGTCAATGAGCCTTGAGGTCAAGACAGAGGTGTCGCCGGTCGGGTCGTATAACCCTGATTCAGCGTGGTAGAATGACCAGTAGTCGTCGTACGTAGCCCAGCTCTCGTTAATGTAGAGCTTGTCTTTAAACTTCGACAAGGCCTTTCGCACTGGAGCCCAGGCCGCCTCAGCCTCTCGACGGCCCTTGCCGATTGTCCAGACACCGTGTGAATAGCCAGATGTAGCGTTCCCAACAAAAACGGTGGGAAAGTTTCGGAACCAGTAACCGTAGCCAGCAAAGCCAGCGTCGTTGAGATCAGGTAGCGACTGCAGCAGAGCGGACACAGCGTCGAGTAGATCTGCATTCTTCTCTGTCTTCTCCAGTGGTGCGATCTGCAAGTGGTGAGCCGTGACAACCTTGACATTGGGATGAACCTTGATGGTACTGCTCAAAGTGATACCATAGCCAGGACCTCCGCCACGCATTGAACGGAAGAGATCGGTGTTCTCACAGTGATTAGCGATGACAACTCTTCCATCAGCTAGCATCACTTCTGCTTCCAGAATCTGATCAGCGCCGAGACCATAGTTCCTCGTCGCAGGTCCATGGCCACCACCAGAAGCCCACCCGCCGATCGCTCCAGGCGTGATAGAGCCACCGCCAACTGCGATGACATTGTTCGCCTCAGCTACCTTGTACACATCGCGCCATTGGTAGTTCCCATCAATCTTGATAGCACTGCCCTTCCAGCTAGACCTTTTGCACTGGTTCTCGGATTTGTAAGTCTTCTGAAAGTTAATGCCGTTTTTGAACTGATGAAGCCAGAGCTCAAGACCGCCGAACCCATCAGAGCGACCAAGAAGATCATGGCCTGTTCCAGTAACAACAAGTCTAATATTCCGCTCACGTGCATACGCAATTGTACTTCGGATTTGTGACAGAGTAGTAGCATTAACAGCGTAAACAGGTAAAGAACCGAGACTGCAGGTCGTAGGCTCTTGCCCAGCAGTGTAATCCACCGGTGCGCAGGTGATGTTGTACGGATAAGGTCTCCCGATAGGATTCGATGACTGGAAATCCTGATCCGACCACATTTTGTTCACGTACGCGCATTGCTTCAGATCCTCCTCTGGACCGGGGTAGCATGACTGCGCGATTGGCTCAGTCTTGATAAGACTGCCGCCAATCTTGTTGTTGAAAGCTTTCCATTCTGAAGGAGAGGGCCAGCAGGATTGGCCGGGAATCTTTAACCGTCAGCTGAAGTCAGATATGATAGATTGAAATGCGTATACATACGCATTTGCATCTCGGTGTTGAACCAATCGCTTCTGTGGCAACGGCAAGTACCGCGAGTAGAGGAAAAAGAGACCCGGGATACATGCTGATAGATGGACCGCAGGAAAAAGAAAGTTGAGGTGAGGTACAGAGGGGGATGCAGCTAAGTGGCTCTCATCAAGTTTTAATCTATGCGGAACATTATTTTCTGCAATGCGTCATTTCGCCGCAGCGGAGTCCGAGGTCGTGCAACCTTGGTGAGCTTACGGGAGCGACAGTCCCCTCGGGCAATCTTGTTCAGTTGGTGGCGTCTCTGTTTGCTCACTCTCTGATCAAACTAGTGAATTTGGGGCAGGTATTGAAGCGTCTGGAATAATTGTTGGTGGGAAGCGAAGGGTACAAACATCATGCAGGCACCGGGAACCCCTGATATGCAGCTATGCGGCAACGGTGCGAGACTCCAGATTAGATGTAACGGCTTGTTGTCTGCAAATCAGAACTGACGAATGCTGAGTGAATTGTGAGTTATCATATACTGGACATCATCCATGCAAATGTGCATTTTATTGGAATTTCGTGAGATCAATTCTGGAGCAAACAGATCGCCAAGACGTACTTGGCTCGAATTAAGGACCATCCTGACGCCAGATCCCCTGTCTTCCTCCTGGTTGAAGTGATGAATTTCTTCTAGATTCATCAAAAGCTCTATCCTTCCCATTATCGTCAACGTCAATTACAGACAGTAGACTCGTGCATGGTCATTGCGCTCACTCCGCCATTTAAGCATGAGACATGGCTTCGCTTCCTCAATGCCAAGATTCATCCCAACCAGGGGCAGATTCCATTACAGGAAATCAAGAGCGGAACTAACCGTTATCTTGTCTCCACTCCCGGTTTCAATTAATGCAATCACTCATCCAAACGGCGAAGATGGTCCTGAAATTCTTACATGTAATTGTTTGCCACTCCAACCGTTGGTAAGGCTCACTGCAAGCGGTAAGATCTGCAATGTTTGTCGTACCTGGAACCAACAATATCTGCGGCTGAGAATCCCTCAATGCTACGCAAGCGGAAATGGGTCGATGGAAAAGCAATCATAGAGGCAAACATTGTTATCTCTTTTCTCTAATCCAGTCAACAAATGAAAGAATTGTACGTAGGGCCGATGCTGTTGTCCCATGTTCCCTGCTCTGCAAATGCTCCTCACCTTTCATGCTTGTGATAGCCAGTTCGCAAATGAGTTAATTGGCATTCTGACCTAGCAAGAGCCAATCGTTTGCAGAAAGAAGAAGAAAAGAATACATGATAACCCACTCTGAAGCCTCGCGATCGACCACAGATATTCCCCAGCTTGGCAGGCTCTTCTATCACACTGCACACCGTGAGCTGTAGAATCTGATTTGTGATTTACATCAGTGTTGACAACCAGTAAAGATTTCCTTTTGATCTAATTTGTTTTCCCGTTTCACCTGCAATGTGATGCGGCTGTGGCGTTGCCTCCAATCGCCTCAACCCTTTGTGCTCCTTCTTTGTCCTTGAGTTTGTCGCATCTGATCCAATCACTACTGAACCAACATGTTTGTCGCCGCCACGCGAAATACTCCTCTTCCCCTATATCAGTAAACTTATGAGTCCCGTAGCTCATCATGCAAGCCACGCAAAGACATCGCCATGTCAACCCCTCCGCCTCCAGACCCAGATGCTCCCCTCACGGGCGCTGCTCGCTCCGTGAACCGCCAAGGACTAATCATAATCGTCTGGATATGCTTCACCATCGCTACACTCTTCGTATCACTACGACTTTTCGTTCGCTGGCATCAGAATCGGCGCTTCCTTGCAGATGACTACTGGATTACATGGGCGTGGCTATGCACTCTTACTATGGCTATACTGCAGACTGAGCAGATGGATCCTCTGTGGTATATGACTTACCTCCAGGCCGGTCGCATCGCCTACGATCCAAAGGAGCTAGAGTTCCAACGCAGTCAAATCACGCGATGGCAATTCCCTATCATCAAGCTGTTTTGGATCATATTATGGTCAGTCAAGGCGAGCTTTCTGGCGCTGTTTTATCGACTGGTCCAGCCGTTTCCTGTCATTCGTCGGTGTTGGTATGGTGTTTCGGTCTTTGCAGCATCGGCCCTCATCGTGTGCATCATCTGCAGTGTACTTACTTGCAGTCCTCCTTCTAACTACTTCCATGGTAAGTCGATCAGCTCAATCTCTGGTTATTTAATCTTTTACTGACTACTCTCTAGGCAGCTGTGATTCTCCGCGAGAACAATGGAGACAGTCCTTCAACGTCATATTCTCAACGACCGTCGACGTTGCAACCGACCTCATGATCATGGCGCTTCCGATCGCAGTACTTCCCTCTCTACAGCTCGACAAGAAGAAGAAAATCGGGCTTGGAATTGCCTTTTCTCTGGGTATAATCATCATCTGCGTCGCCATTGTACGCATGTCACAAGTCATCGTTGGAAAAAAGGTCGATCTCGTTGGACTAGCTATCTGGGGTGCCGTAGAAACAGCAACCGCTCTTGTTGTCGGTTCACTACCAGCACTCAAAGGCTTACTTACCCGAGGCATCAAGAAGTATGCGACATCGAGGAGTGGTAGGACGGATCCAGCTGATTACGACAGCCGAAGTTCTCAACGTCGGCGGGGCCATGGCTCAGCAATGACGCCTCGGGCTATTGTGGTTTCTGACTGCATCCCTCTTGATGATCTCCATCGCAGTGGACAAGTCGATGGAGGTATATATGTAAACAAAACATTCACGACTGCTACGACAAGGGATGATAGTTCTTCTCAGGGTGAAGGGGATGAAGCAGCTATAGTGAGAGCAGCACCAAGATAGAACAAGTCATTCAATGTAATATAGACATGTTCCTAGGGCATTCTAGTTATATACTGTGCTTATTTAGTGATAGCTATACTACTCAAACTCCCTCCACTGCCTCACAACCTCATACAAACTATCATTATGCCCAACGTTTCCAGGGAAAACAACATAGTTCAACCCCGGCCACTTCGACTCTGGCTCATCACACCTCCACATCGGAACCCCAGGTGCAGCTTGGCCAACAATAAGAGCACGCTTCATCCTCAATCCCTTTGTCGCCATGTCCGAAGATGTAATTCCGCCCTTGGCGATGATGTAACGAGGCTTCTGCTCTAGTCCCTGCAGGAACGACACCAGAGCCAGTGCAATCTTTGAGCCAATATCCAGACTCTCAACCTCGTCTTTTCCGACGATGAGCTCCCGACTTGTCATGACTAGAACATCCTGCCCGTTCTTGATATGCTGTGACGCAAGCTCAATTGCCTTTGCGACATCCTCTTTCGCTGCCTCGTCAGACTTGAGGAGTGCTTTGACATTGAGCGTGATAGTGGTCAGATTCTTGCCCGACTTCTGAACCAGAGAGTCCAATTGCGCGGTCGTCTTGGGTACATATGAACCGGCGATGATGAGACCACCGACGCTTTTAGATAAGCCGAGTTGTCCAGCTGAAAGAGGCGGGATAGATGAGATGCCTAGACGTGCTGATACAAAAGCAGCACCTGTTCGGTACAAGAACTTCTTCCCTTGCTGCGACGCCTGTAGAAGAGCGGTAACCACAACATCAATGTCTTCGTCTGCAGCCGCGTTGATGACCAGCACAACAGGAGTTTCGCTTCGCTTTGGGAGCTGCAAGATCTTCTTCAGAACTGCATCTGGTCCGCCAACTCGGATAGTCTCAAGGTCGATTGAATCAATGTTCTCGTGCGTGATATTTCCCTTGGACTTCTCCACGACGTAATCTCTTAGATTAGAACTCTTGTATCCAAACGTCGCATCCTTTGCAAAAGGCGTGTCAGCTGCAGGGATGAGCTTATCACCCTCATGAACATAGTGAATATCGTTAATAGTATATCTCCCGCCCTGAAGGAAGAACGGGCACAAGATCCACGCATCAAACGCTCCGTTCACATGCTCCACTGCCTCAGGCTCAAGAGGAAAGTGGCCTCTCAAGATGGAATCACCGCGTAGCACGATCTCATAAGGGAGGTTTGTCTCCTGAGAAGCTGTCTTTAGATTGGTGCAGATCTCGATCATGAGCTCACGAGCTTGTTGGGGATGAAGGGCGCGTGAATTGGTGAGGATGAAGAAACCGTTGCCTGTTCCAACTTGCTTGAATGCTGAGACTAGGTTTTGGACATCCCAGACTGTTAAGATGGTGATGTCGTGGCATGTTTGTGTTCCGGTTGGGTCATCGTCGAGGATAACTAATAGAGGAGCTGGTGAGGAGGTGTTTCGGATGGTGGACTCTGTTTGAGAACGGAGTTGTTGATGAGAAGCCGGGACTGGAGGCAGAGCTGAAAGAGCCTCAGATAAGACGAGTGTGCCAGTTTGTGCCATTTTGGTAGGTCGTAGAGATTCAAGTTTTTGTTGTATCCTCAGCTGGGAGTAGTGATATTGGTGTAGATGTCAATTGAGATAAATAATCGCTTTCTTCCGATCGAGTTTAGGGTAGCCGACAGATCGCAAGGTTCTTATCCGACATCCGCGAGCTGGTCCGTGTCTATCGGTCTTCATTCCCATTGGCTTGAGGGACCACTGCATCGAGCCTTTCTAATCGGGCTGAAGCATTGAAAGTTGACCAAAGACAGAACAACGAGGGACACACATTCGATACGTGAGTATAGTCAGCCTTTCTCTTGAATCGAGAGTCAAATCATACCTTGAGTTGGACCGAAACTGTGCATGCGCCTCACAGTGGGATGAATGCTTACTCAATATCTCCATTCATTGCGGTGGGATCGACATAATGTTATGCCAAGCACAATAGGTGCCATAACCTATGCAGATGCATATATATGCACAACAGCATAACTCATAAAGCTCCATAACTTTCTTATGACTGCTGGTCCACAATGAATAGAATTATCTGCGGAGGCACTCGGACTAACGATGCCTCCGTGCACCTCCGCATTTCCCCAGCGACAGATCTCTACCACATCAGTTCTAGTCAAAGGAGCAATTCTCGCTGACTAACCCCCCCCCCCCGCGTTTTCAGTCTGAGCAACTTTGACGTGTTTTTGGCCATGAACCACTCGCGACAACGTGATAACAAATCATCATGTCAAAGCGGAACGGAAGTACTGCGACGCAAGAGTATGAGGGGAGTGTGGTATGTTAACAGTACGAATGATCTGCAGGGTGCATGGGCGCTGATCAGTGAGATAGCCTCCTCCGAAACGAGTGGCGATAACTTCCAGTTCGGAGCATCCCGTTGCTCACATCTCGAGACATATCAGGGCATGCACAACATGTCGGAAGCACAAGGTACTCTCACCGCCACTTACCGATAAATTGAAGTGACTGACTTATTCAGATCAAATGTTTTATGGACGATGCTGGACCACCATGTCGACGGTGTAAAGAGAAGAAGCTGAGCAACTGCGCCGTTAGCAAGAACCTACAAACCATTATCGATGAAAAGACAGAGTATGCTTGGATTCAACTGTACTGAGATCCTGCTAACATATATCAGGTTATCTGAAGCCATGCTATCGGATCTTGACCAGGTGTACACAGCAGTCAAGGAGATGAGAAGTATAATGGGCTTACCAGAATTACCGCCATTACAAACGTCCCGGATGAACAAGCGAAAGGACTCGTCAGTACCGCCACCACAAGATTTAACGACTCTTCAACTGGAGGACAATTATGGCCCATCATGTGACAACTCACCGAAACTCACGCCCGAAGACGATAGACTGCCCCATGCGCCTATCCATTCTCTATATACACTGACTAGAATGAGAGCGCTTCGGTCACCGGGCAGTAGGAATGAGAACCCGAGTCAAGCCATCAATGACTTCATTTCACAAGGACAGGTCTCACTGGCTGATGCTGAGCGGTTGTTTTGTGTTTATCGAGATCGCCTTGACGGGTTCATCTACTCTATCGGCTGCCCCTATAAAACCCTCGAGCAGCTTCGTCGGAAGTCATCAATCCTATGTGCGGCAACTCTCACCATCGCAGCGCTTCACGACCCAGCTGCCGATAAAGTATATGGCATTTGCAATTCTGAACTCCGGCGATTGACCGAGAAGTCAATGCTGCAACGACAAGGCGACAGGGACTACTTCCGAGCTCTCAGCATCGCTTCATACTGGCTTAGTGATCTATCGTGGACATTATCAGGCCATGCAATCCGACGAGCTGCAGAATGCAACATCCACAACAGCTACAGTCTAGCCATAAAGGACCAATCCGAAGAAGCCATGGACTCTGCTCGAATCTGGTCTATTCTTTATATCTGCGACCAGCACCTTGCTATTCTTTACGATAGACCGGCGATTATCCAGGACGATTGGCTTACGCAAGACTGGGAAGGCATCTTAAACTGTCCTTTGGCTACGGACCAAGATGAAAGACTCATGAGTCAGGTCGAGTTGATGGGTATCTTGCGTAACATACGACGATTATTCGGGCCTGATAAAGGAGAGGAGATTCCTAGATTGTATCTGAGTCAGATAGGGCACTATCATCGGCAGCTTGATCAGTGGATCACGAAATGGACCGATAGGCTCCCAGGTGAGTGGCCCAGCTTCCTCTTCGAACATAACTAACACCGACCAGAGGGCCATCCCAATATTGGCGCGTTTCCACGAAAAGGAGCTCTCTTCCACTTCCACCTCGCCCAACTATACCTCTACTCACATGTTTTCCGTGGCCAGTCCAACCAAATACCCAGCCATTTCCTCGATACAGCCTCAATGGCAGTAACTTCAGCTTCAGCCATCATCGACATCCTCCTCACAGACCCTGATCTCTCAACAAGCATCGTCGGGATACCATCTTATCTTCTCTCTATGACAGCATTCGCAGCCATGTTTCTCGCCAAAGTCTCACACAAATACGGGGATAACCTGTTCAGACGTGATCAAGCGCTGGATCAGATTACACGACTAATCAGCCATTTCAGATCGTTGTCTATGGGCAAGTGGCATCTGGCCAATCTCATGATTAGAGGTTTGGAGACTGTGACTAGCCTTTTGACCTCGCATGGTGTTCAAGATAAAGTCCAGAATGCCATTTCATCAATGATGCCTGGAAACGAGGCCAATCAAAGTCTTGAAGATGTCTATAACACTAACCCTGATATGTTTACCGGTATGGATGGAACTACAATACCTACATGGGACACGACTTTCGGCCTATCACCCATCTTTGGCTTTGATCCATCATTCCTCGATGTAGATGGGTATATGCAGTCGATGGCTATCTTTCCAAACACCGAAGGAACCTGAAGGAGTATCTCAATTGATTGGTATTCATCTATGTATTTATCCCAAACCTCTATGCGCTTCTTTTCCCAATCATGACTCTACATGCCCTGAATGTTCCTTGGCCGGTACTCGCTCTCCAAATACTCCAACTCCTCCTTCGTAAACTTGACATTCAACGCCTCCACCGACTCCTTAATTCTCTTCTCAGAGTTCAACCCCAAAATCGGATAACATCCCTTCTGAAGAACCCACGCCGTCGCAACAAGTGCCATACTAATCCCCTTATCAGCCGCAACCTTCTCAACCCGATTCACGATCTCCAAATTGGCATCCGCAAACCACGCTTCCGTCTTCTTATCGCTCTGGCTCCTAATCGACTGATTCGCCTCATCCTTCTTGCTCGACAGAGGCTTGGCGAGAAGACCGCGGGCGATAGGACTCCAGGGAATGACGCCGACGCCTGTGGCTTCGCAAAAGGGGAGCATTTCGCGTTCTTCTTCGCGGTAGAGGAGGTTGTAGAAGGGTTGCATGGAGATGAAGGGGGTCCAGCCCTTGGATTGGGCGATGTATTGGAGACGCGCGAATTCCCAGGTGTACATTGATGAGGCGCCGAGGTAGCGGACTTTGCCGGACTGGACGACGTCGTGAAGAGCGCGCATGATCTCTTCGGGGGGTGTTTCACGGTCTAGACGGTGAATTTGAAGGACATCTATACAGTCAGTATGTCACTTACTTTACTAGGTCAGACAGGCTTACCAATGTAGTCGGTTCCAAGTCGTTCAAGGCACTTATCAACAGCATGGAAAATATGCTTCCTACTCAACCCCATCTGATTCACAAGCGGTCCATCATTGATACTAGCAGGCCTTGTGCCATCATCCATAACAGGATTAAAGATCTTTGACAAGATAACAACCTTTTGGCGAGGAATGTTGAACTTCTTCAAGGCCTTGCCAATGATGACTTCTGACTCGCCATTGGAGTACGTATCAGCTGTATCCCAAGTGTTGATGCCTTGATCATAAGCAGCTTTGAGAAGCTTTAGGCCATCTTCTTCGTCGAGAACCCAGGGTGAGCCTTGCCATGAGCTTGAACCGAAGGTCATGCAGCCGAGGATGACCTTTGAGATCTTGAGACCTGTGTTGCCGAGTCTGGGCTGTTAATGCGGGGGTCTTGGTGATGATGGACTTGCTTACCTGACGTATTCCATTTTGAAGGCACGTGTGAGGATGGTACTATGTGATGATGTTGCGACTTTGTAAACCTTGGTTGTTATTTTTATTTGTTTTTAAATGCCGCTTTTATGCCACTCATCTTCATGCCGATCTGACCAACGCTGATATCGCCGAACATTTCCTTCCCCGCATTATTCCACCAAGATCATCAACCCCTCACCTCCAACGCCATCCAATCGGCCATCCTTCCAATTGGTCAGCGAGTCATTCATAGTGGGTTTAGAGTCGGGCTAATATCCGCTGGGATCGTGGGGAAGTAGACAAATCTACGTAGAAGAGGCGACGTTTTAAACCACCAAGACAAGACTCATTGCAGCGTCAACAAGCAGCTCGATAACCGCAAGCAATCATGGCACCAAATCTTCAGACTATTCCTGTTCCTTCAGCGACAGTTCAGTCGCACGCTTCGAATTTGTTGCAACTCCCTGACAAGACTGTGTTATGCACATGGTTTGGTGGTTCGCAAGAAGGGCTGCCTGATATCAGTATCTGGCTGTCTCGATTAGAACCGGGATCATCATCTTGGACTACCCCGCAAAAGATCTCATTTGATGAGAACAGAAGTTGTCAAAACCCAGTCTTGTTCAGGGCGCCTCACAGTGGAGAGATTTGGTTGCTTCATACTTCGCAAGATGCGGGTAATCAGGATGGCGCTTATATCTTGAAGCGCACATCTTCTGACCAGGGTCATACTTGGTCTGAGGCCAGCCGTTTACTCCCTGATGTAACAGGCATCTTTATCAGACAACCCATTGTTATCAATGGCGATGGTACCTGGATTTTGCCAGTTTTCTACTGCCGCACGGAACCCGGTCACAGATGGATCGGAAGCGACGATATATCTGGTGTTCTTTACTCAGATGACAATGGTGCAACTTGGAAGGAGAAGCAAGCACCAGACAGTGTTGGATCTGTCCACATGAACATCATCCCCCCAGTATCCGGCTCTTCATCTTGGGTCGCATTCTACCGCAGCCGCTGGGCAGATAATGTCTACCGCTCAAAATCCAATAATGGCATTGATTGGGAAACACCAAAAGCAACAACCCTCCCAAACCCCAACAGCGGTATCTGCGCAGCCCGCTTATCATCAGGCCGTATTGCCATTGTCTTCAACAGATCAAACGCCTCAGCTGATACCCTCAAGCGACAAGGCTTGTACGATGACATCACGCCTGAGGATGATAAGCGACCCAATCAGGTCACAAAGACAGGGAAGAATGCGATTTGGGGAACGCCGAGGAAGACGTTGACGCTTGGAGTTTCGGAGGATGAGGGGCTAACTTGGAGAGAGCGTGTGCTTGAAGATGGGGATGGGTTTTGTGGGACGAATAGTTCTTCGGGGCAGGAGAATAGGGAGTTGAGTTATCCGAGTATTTATATTGAGAAGGATGGGGGTACGGATGTTGCGCATGTAGCGTATACTTGGCATCGGCAGCATATTAAGTATGTTAGGATTGACGATGTTGAGGGATGGGTTAGCTCCAATTGAGAAATAGATCTGAATTGCATAAGTAACTTCATAAACCATGTTACAAATGACTTATGTAAAGACCGTGAAATTCCAGAATTTGGGAATTGTCCGATGACCTCATCTCATGAACTGTGAAGGTACCGTCCCTCTTGCACATCTGTCTTCTTTGACGAGGTAAACAAAATTGAATAACTACATTTTCCTTCTGACTAACCACATATTCCATGTGTGTTCCACAGCTCCATGTATTACACATTAAAACTCTGTCAACTAGCCAGAAGTCATCTCCAGTTCGACTTCTTGTATCAAAGGATAATGTTCTACATACATATCCAACGCCTAGATGATTTCTTCATTTCCTTACCCTACATCAAAACGAACCCATTTCCTAAACCTTTCGCATACCTGTGACTGGCAAAGAACCCTTTCTGCTGGCCGCAATCTCGCATCCAATTCTTCATCCCAGTCTCGGTCTGGTTCCCGGCCTAGACGTGGCGCAAGATCTGTGAGTGTCCACTCGTCCAATAGGATTTCTCACCGCGACCCAATAATCGGCTAAGAGCACCAAGCAGACCGAGCACTTGCTTATCCACCAACGGAACTGGGACTCTGTGTAAGTTATAGCGGAAGATTGGCGACACTGACGATGGCTTACCCATGAGATATTAATGTTAAAATGGAAGGCGTTTCTGGGATCGAGACACAATATCTACTTTCACTACGCAGTACTTGCAAACACTAGATAACCCTCATACTTGTTTTTGCAGTAATTCTCATCATGACTCAAACAAAAGATAAAATCCTCATAACCGGAGCCGGTGGCTTCATTGGCCAAGAGCTCATCACATCTCTCCTCAAAGACATGCCCTCTGCCCACTTCACCCTCACCGATATCATCACACCTCCCGTCCCCGCAGGAGCAGAAAACCAGGTCACGTCCCTCAAAGCAGACCTAACAGATCCCTCAGCTGTCACATCCCTGCTGTCCAACCGCTTCAGCCACGTCTACATCCTACATGGTCTCATGTCCGGTGGCGCAGAAGCCAATCTTGACCTAGGACTCAAGATCAACGTCGACTCAGTGCGGAGTATCCTCGACGTACTACGGGCTGAATATCCCGGCACAAAGGTGATATTTGCTAGCTCTTGCGCTATCTACGGCCAGACGAACCTTGTGACGGAGTTTGGCACACTTCCTCAACCTAAAAGCTCCTACGGCATTCAAAAGTTGCTCGTAGAGCTTTTACTCAACGACTACTCCCGCCGCGGTCTTCTCGATGGACGTATCGTCAGATTACCCACTGTTATCGTCCGCCCAGGTGCACCCTCAGCAGCTGCATCAAGCTTTGCCTCAGGAATTGTCCGAGAGTCTCTACAAGGAGTCCCCAACATTCTACCCGTTAGCAGAGACCTCGAGCTTTGGGTTTGCAGTCCAGCAACAGTTATCAAGAACCTCATCAAGATCAAAGACGTTCCAAAAGAGAAGTTCGGTGATTCGAGGGTGGTGAACTTACCAGGCATTACGGTCACGGTGAAGGAGATATTGGACGCTCTGAAAGAGGTTGGCGGTGAAAGGGCGCTTGCGCAGATTGAGGAGAAGAGAGATCCGGCTATTGAAGCAATTGTAAAGAGTTGGCCAGCGAGATTTGATGTTTCTAGGGCTTATGGTCTTGGATTGGAAGCGGATGGGAAGGTGCTGGATGCTGTTAAGGCGTTCCAGGCAAAGATTGCCAAGGCTTAGTTTGCCAATTTACTCTTATTGGGATGGCAGTGCTGAGTAAAAGCCTATGTAACAATATGATTGTTTGGTGAACAGGTCGTGCACACATGCCCGGGTTGCTCGTTCTGACGAACGATTTGTAAGATGATGTGCGACATGTGTGCATGGGATCGGGATGTTGGCTGGTGACGGCTCTTACCTTCATAATACCCATTTTGGAATCGCGCTCAAGTGGTCCGGCACTTGAGAGAAATGCCATGGGGTTGGGAAATGGTCCACAACGCTGCAATAGCCAATGTCGGTGTAAGGCCAAAGCCAACTTGAGACTTTAGATACAGGGGGTCAGAACATAGAAGAAGCCAAGGAGAAGAGTGAAAGATGATTTGCAGAGTAATATTGTGTACATGTATGCTACTTGGCGAATAGATCTATAGAATATCGAGATGTGTTCTCCCGCCGTGGAAAAACCTCTACAGCTTCGATAACAGACGCGTGTACGCATTACCGACCACCATATGATCAACATCCAGCGTATTCACCAAGCTGGGTCTTGCTTCACTCAGCGATGTTATACCGCAAAGTCGCATTGAGGTTTCAAGCTCATCTTTAAGAACTATAACTCGTTAGCTTGATCGTCGTGGCGCGACATACAAAACTCACTATGACAGAGATGCTCGGCACCGTCTTGGCCGTGAATAAGAGAGTACAGGAATGGCCGACCGATACCAACTGCTGTTGCTCCAAGAGCGATGGCCTTCAAGATATCCGATCCCCGCTCGAAGCCGCCGTCGATGTAGACTTCAAGTTGATCAAAGACTTCTGGGCAGTTCTTCCGCAATTCCAGCAGAACCAGAATACTGGCTTGAGCGCTGGGGAAGATTAGCTTTAGCATGTCACTGAAAGAAGGAATGACTTACCCGTCCAATGACCGTCCACCATGGTTACTCAACAGCACACCCTCAACACCATACTCCGCCGCTTTAATAACGTCCTCAGCAGTCTGAACTCCCTTCAACACAATCGGCAAACCCCCACTCGCCTCCCGAATCCAAGCCAAGTCATCCCAACACAACGACTTGTCGATATACTGCGCCATAAGACGTCCAAAGCCACTTCCCTTCTTATCCTTACTGCTCTCGCCACCACTAATCGCCGACTTGACAGTTTGCTCCTGCGCAGCTCTCTCATCTGCCTCGCGCTTCCCTGGTACAGGCGCATCAACTGTTACAAAGATTGCTTTGACGCCGAGACCACGGACCGTTTTGAGTAGCTCGACGGTCTTTTCGTGGTTGGAGTTGACGTATAGCTGGAAGAAGAAGGGCTGTGTTGGGGGAGCGGCTTTGACTATTGACTTTAACGAGAAGGAAGCATTACTCGAGATCTACCAACCGTTAGTTAAGAACTTTGAGTGTTGGCCAATGGGTTTACTTACACATTGGATGATGCCCTCATTGGCCGCCGCCCGACTAAGCGCCAGCTCCCCATCAGGATGAGCAAGTCTCGCCATAGCAGCAGGAGAAACAAAGAACGGTGCGCTACTATCGAAACCAAGAATACTGGTCTTGTAGTTCACTTGCGACACGTTCCTCAAGATCCTGGGTCTGATCATGACTCTCCGCACCAGCTCCTTATTCTTCCCGTGGGTGACGAGATCTGTCGCAGCGGAAGAGTAAAACGCCCATGTTTTCGCGGACAGGGAATCTTGCGCTGCCTTTTCAAAGTCAGGAGCACTTAATATTGCATCTAACGGTGGGACTGTTTTGGTCTTTGGTGTCGAGGGGACGTCGTTGGTTTGTGTTGGTGATGTAGGGGGCGGTACGGGATCGATCTCGGTAGTTTTAGGCGTCGGTCGACTAATTGCAGACTCCTCGAGGAGCCCAATTAATTTGTCGCTTGGAAGGTCTTCGATGATATCAGGCGCGTGGACATCGTTATACAGTTCCGTGGCATCAGAACCAGCGAGGTTCAACAAAACTAGCCATCATGATTAGTCCCGCTACAACCCCCAGGTTTGCTCAACATACCTTCTGGACCACCAGGGTGCTCATTAATAAAATGTGTAATATCCCAAACCTTGGAATGAACAGCTATCCAGCAGTCATTGGCCGTGTTATGCTGCTTCAAGTCGTCCAAAGACACTCTTCTCGTCTCAATTGATGTCTCCATGATTGCTGATAGTATTGACTGAACCTCCAAGAACAAAACAAGTTGTAGACCTTGAAAATATGCTAATCACCAAAGCTGCAATTTACTATCTCCACAAGCTGTTTACAGCCCGGGAATGCCGAGTATCGGGCTGGGGTCACGGAGAACCCTCCCATTGGCTGCTTTCGCCCCCCCGGGAATGTCTCCGGGCGTCCAACCCCGCATTGGGCTTTGGAGTTTTGGTGCACTTAAGAGCTCGGAGATAGCATGGACGATTACTGCATCAAGCAATATCTTCATTACACAATCATCACTCTGTGTAAACCAGTCTATCATTCACTAGTCAAGTCATCAAAATGGAGCGCAGCACTATCCGAACCAAGGCAAAGCCCCTCCCCCCAGGAGTCTACACCCCCGTCGTCACACTCTACAAAGCAGACGACCCAACCCAACAAGTAGACCATGAAGCAATGCACACCCAATGTCAAGCCTTGATCAAGGCAGGCATGCACGGTCTCGTCTATCTCGGCACGAATGGCGAACTAGTTCTCCTCTCACGAGAAGAGCGCAAAGCCATCATCAAAACAGCGGTGCAGGCCGCTTCTGCAGCCGGTGGACCTGACTACCCCATTGTGGCAGGCATCTCAGCACAGTCCACGCAGGAGTCGATCCAGAACGCCAAAGATGCAGCGGAGGCTGGAGCTGGCTTTGGGTTGCTTCTGCCGCCGAATTACTGGCCCAAGGCACTACCCAGCCAAGCTATAGTGTCGTACTTTAAAGAGGTTGCGGCTGCTTCACCGATACCTATTGTCATTTACAACTTTCCCGCTGTTACATCTGGTATTGATCTGGATTCTGATCAACTAGCTACTCTGGCTTCTGAACCGAATATCGTAGCGGTGAAGTTGACATGCGGCAACGTTGGAAAGCTTGCTCGGTTAACAGCGCTCTTCTCACACGAACAATTCGGTGTTTACGGCGGAAGCAGTGATTATCTCCTCCCCACCCTCCACAGCGGTGGAAGCGGTTGTGTTACAGGGATGGGTAACATTTTCCCGTCAAGTACAGCGGGTGTCTATGACTTATGGAAAGCTGGCAAGATTGACGAGGCGAATAAGCTTCAAGGTCTTGTAGCTCATGCTGAGTGGGCTTGTAAGAAGGGAATTAGCAATACCAAGTATGGAGCGTGGCATTTCTTGGGTAAGGATATTGGGTTGGATAATGAGACATCGTGGCATATGAGGAAGCCGTATCAGCCGCTTGATGATAAGTCCAAGGAATGGACGGTTAAGACGCTGAGTGTTCTGGCGGATACTGAGAAGCAATTGAGGAAGCAATAGACTGTTTAGTATTGACATAGTCGTTAAATGCACGACCAAAAATAAGTTCCTGTTTCATCATTCTTAGTTATCCGTTGTGTGTGATTCTTATCGATGCACGCCCGTTGACAGCAATCCCTGGGCCTAGACCATGTCTAGATCAAAGCTCAGTGGCGAGACAACGACGCGCAGCATCAACAGGTATACACGTAAGTGCTTTGCCTGTGGACATCTCCAAAGCAGATTCGAGCCTGCTGAACTGAATTGCTCAATCGCCTTGGCCATTATTGTCTGTCGGGCTTGACTGATCGCGATGCATTAGCTTGTCGCCATCTCATCATGGACACGGTCTGTGTTTCGCATTTGTTCCCTGCTTGAACAGAGTAACTTCACATATCACCACGAAATAATTCTTGGTGAATAGAAATAATCGGTCATGTAACCGACACCGAAATGATTACATTTCCTGCACTGATGCTGCAATCATCTTTCGATGATGTCTTGGGTGGCACAGATATCACCAAGCGGGCGGCCATCTCCTTCGGTCTTCCCTCCTACTGGCTAACTAATTCCCCCTTCAATCCAACACTATCAGTGCGTCTCCAAGCACGACTCATTCAGAACTCTAAACGCGCTAGTCTGTCTCCCCAGATTCGATACCCCATACCCCGCATTCACTCCCCCATAACTTTGCCAAGTTTTTAATCCCATAAAAAGGAGTTGATATCCCCGATATCAAGGTCTTCTCAATCCAGTGATACTCCAAATCACCAGGATCAATTATACATCCCAACATTTACTTGAATCCGAGTTTGTGATCATGGCTCTGAGGAACTCCATCTCGGATGAGAAGGACGTCGAGGCTATCGCCTCTCATCTCGACCATGCCAACACTGCAGCTACCAATGGTGGTTTGTCCGCTGAGGACATGGAGTTTGTCGCCAATTTTCCCGAGGAGAAGAAGAAGAAGGTCTTGGCAAAGATCGATGTAAGTTGGTTGGTTTCACTCTGCACAGACAAGATCTGACTTCTTCAGTGGCGACTCATGCCGATGCTCGCTATTCTGTACCTCGTCACATATATCGACAAAGCGAATATCGGAAACGCCAAGATCGAGGGAATGCTTCCGGATCTTGGTATGAATGGAGAGCAGTACAACATCGCGCTATCAATCTACTTCATTCCCTGTATGTTCACCGGTTCGGCGATATTGAGCAGGACTAATCTGAACAGATATTCTCGCTGAGATTCCTAGTAACATGATTCTCAACAAGTTTGCGAAGCCATCTCAATACATGGCCACTATCATGTTCATCTGGGGTATTGTTGTTGTCTGCACGGGTCTGATTCACAACTTTGGACAACTCTGCGCAATCCGTATCCTCCTTGGTCTCTTTGAGTACGTAGCCACCCACCTCTAAATCTCATATATGCTAACATAATCAGGGCTGGCTTCTTCCCCGGCGCTATCCTCATCATTTCGAAATGGTACCTCCCCCACGAGACGCAAACCCGAGTCGCGATTCTTTACACGTCCGCTGCCACTGGAGGTGCTTTTTCCGGCCTCTTCGCATACGCAATCGCCAAAATGGACGGCATCGGCGGTCAGGGCGGTTGGAGATGGATCTTCTTCATTGAAGGAATCTTCACAGTCGTCATGTCCTTCGTCACATGGTTCTTGCTCATCGACTCACCAACTCTCTCATACTGGCTCACCGATGAGGAGAAGCGCTATCTCGTTCTGCGCCAAGCTTCCCGAAGAGTCACCAACTCGGGCGAATACCGCGAGAAGACTTTCGACAAGGGAGCTTTGTTTGATGTTCTTAAGGACTGGAAGGCATATCTCCTCGTTATCATGTCCTGGTCCAATGCTGCGCCCAACTACGGTCTTAAGTTCTCCATGCCCTCTATCGTCAAGGGAATGGGATTCACATCCAGCAACGCCCAACTAATGACTATCCCTCCTTATCTCTGTGGAGCTATCTCATCGTACCTCCTCGCCCGATTCGCTGATAAGCACAAGTGGAGAATGCCCTTCATCGTTGGTCCTCAGCTCTGCATCATCATCGCCTTCTCTATCCTCATGACCAAAGCCGAGTTCATTGTTCAGAACCTTGGAGTGTGCTACTTTGCAGTCTGTCTCGCTTGCGCTGGCATGTATCCCATCTTGCCTGGCACCAGTGCCTGGAACATTGACAATAACCTCAACCCGACGAAGCGAGCGATCAGCATTGGCTTTGTCACCTGTGCAGGTACAATTGGTGGTATCTATGGCAGCTACATCTATATCGACAAGGAGAAGCCCAAGTACACGACTGGATACGGCGCATCCCTGGGATTTGCGGTGGCGGGAATTCTAGCTGCAGTTACCCTTGAGACTGCTTTAGTCATGATCAACAAGAAGAGGTCCAAGATCAGCGAGGCTGAGGTTCGAAGCAAGTACACAGAGGAGGAGCTTGAGATTATGGGTGAGAAGAGCCCACTGTACCAATATAAGCTGTAGTGGAGATGGTGACCCGGAAATATTTCAATCTACATCTTTGACCAATCTTTTGACTTCTAGAGCCTGTGCATGTCGAATGTGAACCGTGCCAGATGGGGTGATATCGACGGGGATGGTAGAGCTGACTACATGATCATCGACAACGGTGGAAACGTTCGTGCTTGGAGGAACTCAGGTACCAGTGATACTCCCACCTGGCAGCCCCTCGGCTTGCGTTTCTCCGCAAAGTGCATGGGTGACATACGTGGTGTTCGTTTCGAGGACATCAACGGCGATGGGCGTGACGATTGGCTATGGGTGAATGAGACGGGTGCCACAACGACTTAGACCAACTCGCGAAGCTGCAAGAAAGGGAAGCCAGGGGATGGTCTCAACGTCGCCTGGAGGCAGGGGTTCTGGAAAGGTGCCTCTTCTGGACCAACCCATGCTGGTGTTGGAGCTACCAATCGAAGTAGAATCCACTTCGCCAGGATCTATGGCGAGGCGGGCTTTGGACTTCTACCTAAAGTAGACTATATCTATCTCCAATCAACCAAGCAACCCAACGGCAAGTTCAAGTTTAATATGAGAGTTTGGAAAAACACTGGGGGCGGTTCCACCAAGCTCAAAGCAGATGGCAACAAGTACTGCAACATGCACGGTGTTGCGGATGGACGACAAGATTACGTTTGGACTCGACCATCAGGCAAGATGATGGTCTGGCCCAACTTGGGGAAGAAATCGGTCCGCGGTAGCGATGACTATTTCTGGGGCTCGCCCAAGGAACTCTGGCGCCCTGGAAGGAATTTGGACCGCAGGGACCTCCATCTGGTCGACTGGAATGATGATGGTGCGTGCGATATCGCATGGGTTAATCCAGACAACAACAATAAGATTTCTGTCTGGCTGAACAACTACAAGAAGACAGGGGAGTTCACCTGGACCTACCTTGCCGATCCTGCCCCAGTCTTGAACTGTCCGGAAAAGAGAGGGGTTGGCATACACGATCTTCCGGTCAGATTTGCCGACATCTCAAACAACAAGATGTCGGACTATATCTGCATTCAGCCAGACGGACGATTCTACGGCTGGACTCACAACAGCGATGGTTCCTGGGAGAAAATTGAACAGTTCAAGAAGGCAGAAAGTATCAACCGCGCCAACATTCGCTTCGGCAATGTCAACGGACGTGGCGGAGACGACTTGATCTGGGTCGACAAGTACACCGGCGATGCCACCGTCTACATCAACAGAGGCAAGATGAATACCGGCGGTAGCAATTGGTGGTTCCTGAAGAGCGGAAAACAGTACTCGGGTTCTTGGGCAGGGACCTGCCAATACTTTCCTGACCTCGATGGAGACGGCAGAGCAGACCTACACTCCATCATGTCCACGTTTACTAACCGCGGAGAAACCTTTTTCAATCGTTGCGGTTTGACGGATGCTGTAGGCGATGACGCAGGCTGGGCGCCGGGTCAAGATCCAGGATTCGGTAAGCTGCAGGATTCTTCTGACGAGCCGGATAGCAGGGGCGGTACTGTTCCTGCTCTTGAAGATACTTGCCCTGACGGCTGCTGGAATGTGTCTGACGACAAAAAGATCAAGTGCGTGTATGATGGCATGTTATGGGACATGGAAGATAGGGACGACGACATCCCGGACGACCGATTGAATATCAAAAAGCTTGCTGCTATTGGGGATTCTTACTCGGCTGGCATCGGTGCCGGAGACAGACTTGGAAGTATATTCGACGCTTTGAAAGAAGGAAGTGGTAGGTTGACCCTATGGAGCTTGTCTTGATACTACGCGGAATCTAACCTTGTAACACAAGACCGTGCTTGTGCTCGCTACGATCACGCCTGACTGCGACAAGGTTACCTGGACGACATGGATCTATGCAGCGGCGAACTTCGCGCAACCACCACAGTACTTGACGACCTTTCATCGTTTTGAGTTCAACAGCTTGGTTGACGAGATGAATCAAAAACTTGTTTGTTTACTCTCCACCATGACCATGTCTACACCCGTACTGATACTCCATTCTAGGAAGAAGCAGTTGACCGAGCAGGCGATTCTGTCAAATTCATCAACTACGATCAATACGTCGGCAAATACGGCGGCAGGTTCTGCGAGGCAGGAGTCGATGAGTCGACCAGTGAAAGCAACACCAGGAAGGGACTGATGTTTTACGAACTCAACTCCTGGGATCCAGCAGGCACAAGCCCATGGAAGCGCGGCACTGGCGGCGGCGAACTCAACGGGACCTTTTATGGTGATATGCTCATTCTCGGGCAAATCACGCGCCTTCTAGATCCCAACGCTGAGCTTCATCATGATGGCGATGAGGCAAAGAAGGCGCTCGCTGCGCGTGCAGGTATTTTTGATTACCTGATTCCAGATGGGTACGGTCGAGTCTTTCACCCTCAGATCGCACTGCATGAAATGATCGCCAGTTTGGTCATTTACGAAATCATGCTCGATCATCAAGCTCGCATTGGATACGCCGTCTGGACTCCTCCACCCGAGAACACTAGTTGTAAAACCGTCAAACCATCGCCAACCCCGTCTGCTCCTCCTAAACCTCCACCTCCTCCAACTCGTCCGACTCTGATTCCTCTCCCGCCATTTGAGCCAAAGTACGACTGCAAGGGAAGCAAACTTGTAAGTTTAACAACGCCCACCGCTACGCATTCACAATGGAGATCCTCACAAGTAACAGTGTAGCGGCCCGCTTCTCAGGCTCAAGGACTGCGACCACGCGGTTAACTATCTTCGCCGAGAAACCGATCCCCCTTTTGAGTATAGCACAGAGTAGGTTGGAGCCAATCGTGGCATTACACGGAAGCATCACTGACCTATTACTAGGAAGGACCACCTCAATGGAAATTGTTGGGGTAAATCTGATGGAATTGGCTGTGGTGTCTTTCTCGAAGGTGAGGGCTGTGAGATGAAAGGTTATGACATGTGGGATTGGTACCAAATGATTCGTAAAGACGGTTCCTGTAAGAAATGTGGAAAGGTCGAGTATAAGTATGGTTGCACACTCAAGATTGACTATGTGACGGGATGCAATAATCACGGTTGAGCTTATATAATGTAGTATAGAAGTGTATTGAGTTTTGAACCATTCGTTTGCAGCAGCGCCCGTTCCACCTAGTGCGTCCTGGGTTTAAAAGCTGGTCCAAGATGTAGGTATAGTAAGGGTTAAATAGTATGACTCCTAGAGTCAACTAGATGCCAAACTTCCCTGTTTTTATACTACTATGATACCGACTCCACTGATCTCATTTCTATTTTCTTTCTTTGCCCTCTCGTCTTCTTCTCTTTACTATAGTAAATAATGATACTATTACCTATAGTATTACTATCTTTCTTAGCATTCTATTCCTTCTTAAATTTAATGGTAATTGATTTATTAACTATACTGCTACTATTACCTATTAAATAGGAATTCTAGATACTATAATCGCCTTACGTACTGCTAGCGCAGAATGGGAAGGGGTATGCCTTTAAGCCACTAGATTTGCTATATGTTTGACTTGCTCGGGAAATATGTATCTCCTATTAAATTTATTTACCGTAATTGTGAAGAATGGAGCCAGCAGACGGGGCAAGAAGTGTAGGCAACTGGTATTAAGCGTGGTGTGATATGACGTGCAGGAGCTTGACTCGGCAGAGAAAATTGATAGTTTGACCAGCTTCAGACTGCTAACCATGCGTGCCTTCATACCTCCAAGAGAATTAAACTTGTCCAGCCTGGTCAATGTTTATGTTGTTGTGGACCCTTACTCCGTTGGGTCAGGAATAGGCACAGCTTTCCCACGCGTGAAAGAAACGCCATCAAGGTAAAAGACGGGGCTAAGGCCTTGGTTCTGCGTGATAGTAATGCAAAGATCAGTAGAATCAATGCTTGGGTCGACATATGAGAAGGTGTAAGTAAAGTCTTTGTAGGTATTATACCCGACAATGCCATCTGCACCAGAGTCGAATACTCCATCAATGGACAGTTCAGCTGTATTAATATTATCATCGCAGGTGAGTGTGTTTGAACCATACTCTTTGATGCAGTTCTGGCTGACCTGCGCTTTGAAAGTGTACTCGAAGCCCGCCTCAACTGCAACGCGCTGGCAGACCCTGGCGGAATTATCAAGGTTTCCAGGCAATTGCCTGCGGTATATTAGTACGAATCGATCAGTGTTTTAGAATTCTAGTAATACGCACAGACACTTGCTACCCTCGGCGCAGAAAAACGGGCTACTGAAGACTTCCGGAGAGGCTCCTTCTACCACCCAAGGATCGATGGTAGAGTCTTCGAAACCACCATTCTCAACGAGGTTAGTAATCACGGGAGGGCCAGCTGTAGTCGTAGTGGCTTCGATTGTTGTGCTTGTGGCTTCGTCGGCTGTTGTAGAGGTCTCGGTCTCTTGGGAAGTGACAGCAGTCGTAGTCGCAAGGCTGGTGGTAAAAGAGCTGATACCATCGGTCGTAGTGGCAGCAGATTCGACACTGGTCTGAGACTCAGTGACACTCAAAGTCTCTTGAGAGGTTAAGCCAGAAGTAGTCGTCTCCAGTTCTGTAGTGGCAGAGTTGGCTGTAGAAGTTTCGACGGTAACAGATGACTCAATGCTTGACTCGGAATCAGTGACGCTTAGAGTCTCTTGAGAAGCAGTCGTTGTGGCCGACCCTCCAGCCGTTGTAGTGCCAATTTCGCTGCTGAACGACGATGTTGTTGGCCGAGGATGGGGGACACAAGCCTAAAACTGTAAGCTTCCACTTGCGACGATAGGGGGCGTTTTAGAGCACTCACGCGAGCGGCGCAGAGGCCCACGCCCATGATTAGTGAACCAAGGGTAGTAGTGACACGCATCGTGAACAGACTTATAAAGAGCGACTGGAATTAAAAATGAGTGACTGAAATGTGGTAAGTAAAGACAAAGAAAATAAAAGAGACGAAAGAGCGAATTATTCTCTTATCATCACGTTAAGCTTCCTCGAGAGCTGAAAGGCGAGCTGGAACTATTGACTTTAGGGCGCGCTACTTGAACAGATGTAGCTAGCAGATTCAATAGTCTCTATAGCCCCTGTTTTTTTTCAGGGGCAACGCAGGTAGAGCGAGCTCCTAATTTTAGATATTAATTGTTCTTCTGGGTAGGTATGTAATAATGCAACATGAGTCAGTTCTATTATATAAAATTCCTATTGTGATTTCATCACCAGTTTCGCATCGGCTTTCAGATCAGTCTTGTAATTATCAGAGTCGCTTATGGATAGTGCGTTGTTGGATTCACAGATGCTGTCTCAGAGTTCTCATACTCTGGCGTTATGACATAATTTTACTTATCAGACTGATCAAGCAATAGCCAAGAAACATTCATAGACTTTTAACTGTTTTTTACCCTGGTACACTTCCTAATGCTCAAGATGGTATTCCAAAGGACCTAATTAGGTTTTATGTTAACGGCTTTCTTCGATGTAACATAATAACTTATGAAACCTGCGTTAATCAGATTGAAAGTCTATCTATCCGACGTGGCGCGTATAGAATAAGGGAAATCTTAGGGCATATTAAATACTTTAAATCGTGTCTAAAGAATAAATTAATTTATTCTCTTATAGTTATCTGTAATATTTAATTTGGAGTCTTGGAGTGTACAGTCATTGACCACGTGGCCGATTCTCCGTAGCCATAGGCGTGAATCGGAAGAGGATATTGAGTAGAGCCGGATATCATGGATGAGTTGACTAGCTGATTCGCCATATTTATCCGGGTAGCTACAGTAGCAATAGCTTGAGGGCAAATATAGCAAGTAAACAATAGTATGCCTGATGTTCTTGGTGCATCAGCGACTACCCAGCTCCAGGTTTGCAATATCATGGCACGTGTTGATGAAGTCTGAGTGCCCAATCAATTGCTCTTGGCTATGGAAATTTGGGTGGTTAATAAGTCGATCCGCGATAATTCTCTCGGCTCACATGGCGCAAATGGCGTTCCTAATAATCAATTCCAAGGTATCAGAAAGCATGGCTTGGTCAGTTCCGGAGAGCACACCCAGCTTATCACTAACGAGGCCTGCAAACTGGGCCTCACGTTGCTGGGGTCCAAGTACTCCGAGTCAATCAAAAGTTGAATGAGTGGACATGCTGTGATGATAAAGCTTATGTAATAGAACACGTTGCTCAATGCGAGTACCTTCACAGGGTTACAAATGATAACACTCGTCTCCATACCCAAGACAACCTTCAGCCAACAAACGTATCGATTGAAGACTACGCGCCCAGGCGATTTTCAAGGCTCTCACGCCAGGAATATAATCGTTACCACAGGTATCAGTACGCATGGAATATTATACCCTTCCTCGACTCACGCGCTGGACGACACTATGCCACTCAATATCATCAAGATCGTCGGCATGTATCGACACAGGCAGATTAAGCGCCTTGTTCAGCTGCTCTCTAGTACTTGCGTAGACCATTCGAGACTGAATATTCTGTCAGAGAACGAAGGAAAGGCCGATCAAGTGTTCAACATACCTTGATTGATGTACCCGAAGGAACCCAGGAGATAAAGGCAGTTGAAATTCCGAATAAGGTTAGCAGAAGCAGAATTTTCTTGGTTCGGGATACTAAACTCACCTTTTCCCCTCCTCTCCAAGGTCATATTCGACATCGTAGGCAGCATAGCGAGGGGCAGGCTTACCCTTGTCGTCAGTGGCGGATGCAAGCTTATTCAGGAATGCTTCATAGTTTTTGTCTGACGAGGTCTCATCCACGACGACACTCTGGCCGTTATCAGAGATTTTGTAAATGACGTAGCGGGGTTTATTCGCATCTCTTCGAGACCGCAATTCGTTGACTGCGGTAATGCATTCGTCGTGGATTTGCACACTAGGTTTTTCAGCATTTGCTCTGAGAAAGATAACCATCGTGTCCGCCTGTAGATCGACACACTTGATGGATAGAGTGACGTTTTTTACCCGGAAGGAATCTGGTGGCGATACTTGTTAGGGCAAGATTTCATAGAGCTTGACAGACGAAGCACGTACCGACATAGCTTCCTGATTTGTGTGCTGATAAAAGTCTGGCCCAGTTGGTTGCTTGAAATGATGCGGTAGTGAATCAATGGCGGTTTAAATTAGCTGGATGGTCATCAAAACCAAAGTCATCGCACGGGAGAGCGTAGAGTCGGGCGCATACAAACAAGTACACCGTGGGACGATATCGTGGTATTGGCAGAAGACGGTGAATAATGCACTGGAATGGCATACTTGACGTACTAGGGCAACTGAATTGGTAGGCTGTATTTATAGTGGCTGATTGCTTGTGAGTCACCCCATATTTAGGGCGGTAAAAGTATGTCTGATGGAGTTACTGTAGTCACAGCACGTACGCTGTCCTTGCTGTCTCGCTACCATGGGCCCGAAATGTCCGTACTACCGTGTCGGATCCAACAATGGCGCTGATACCGGCTGCCCCGAGTCATCCTAGTCAGAGCAGAGATCTGCTCTAAACTACCTTATTGCCTAGCCACGCCACACCGCGCTACGCCACGGAACGCGGAGCCGCGCGTTCCGTGGCTCCGTGGCTCCGTGGCCCTTTAAAGTTCCGAAACATCGACCGCTCGCTCATACCTCCGCCACTGCACGCACTGGCAAGACGATTTTTCATCGACATCCCACGGAACTCACTTGAGGCCGAGACGGACAATGGAGACCGAAGAAACCCTCCAGCAACGCCGAAGAAGACTGGCCCAGGTTTCTCGAGCGGTAGGGGGCGAGAACAGCATCATCATGCTACGTAAAGCGGCAACAGGCTTAGCTAACTGTTTTGTAGTGTGAAGCATGCCGCATGCGCAAGGTATGGACCAGAATCACATGGCATGGCATGGCATGGCAATGAATTGCATCGACATGACATGTCTCTTCTCTCCATAGCCCTTACTGACCTATTGAGATCCGATGCGATCGCTCCACCCCTTGCTCCAACTGCCGCACTGCCAACCTCACATGCCAAACAGTCTATCCGAGAGCGGACGTGCCACCCAAGCGTGATAGAATAACGCAGCTGTATGACGTATCAGACATCCCAACCCCCCCCCTTGGCTAATGTCCATTCAGCGAGGAGCGAGTCAAATATCTCTGTGATCGCCTTTCAACAACTGAGACCCAGCCCAACAGCGCAAATGCTACGCCTGACTCGACGACTGGCCCTGCATCGTCTGCTGCTTCCATCCAGACTAGTCAGCATGAGTCGTTCAGGGTAGATGATCCGGGTGTTTACCTAGGTGGTTCGTCTTTCAGTGACCAGTCTGTGCAGGCAAATGATATCTCTAGGTCCAGTATCGCGGCCAGCAATATTGACAGCCAATACGACTTGGATACCATATCTCGACAATTGAATGACCACCTTCAACCCTTGGACATGCCGGCTCTTTCCAAGGATTACCAACTCTCTTCAAGTATCACGTCAAAGCACCATCCGGAAATGGAACTACTGCCAACCGGGCTCGTAGTTGCCGTGCTTCAACAACTCAAGGGTAGGATACCCGTTCACTTCCTCTCCTTTCTATTCGCAAGAAAGATTGCGCAACAAGGTTCATGAGCCAGCAACCGGTGTTGTCACTAACATCTCCAGTAAAACGACCGATCTTCTTATGCTCGTTTCTCATCAACGACCCATCATTATTCGAGACCTTGTGTCAGCAGGCATACTACACTGCAGCTCCTCTGTCGCTCGGCCAAGCTACCAGTATGTACGGGGTCATGTATTGTGTGCTAAAAGAATATGTCCTCCTTCAGAGTCCGCTAGCACGGGAGCATGATCTGAAGGCGCACATTTCCACCTGCGAGAGAAATTTCGGTCGTGGAATTGAAACTTACCAGACTTTGGCCATGCCTTGCTTTGAGAACGTTTTCAGTCTGGCTCTAGGGGTGAGTAATCAACGCCACAGTCTCATTCCAGCTCAAGTCGTATGCTCACATACTGGACAAAACGTAGATGACCAAGGCACAAGAAGAAGGGAAGCCATTCCTATGCTGTACGCTCTTAGCTGCCGCCGCTAGCCATTGCCGTATGCTCGGCTATTGTCAAGAGGCAACATATGGGAGTCACCAAGCTCGGAGAGCAGACCAAATGCGCCGTGCCTTCTGGTTTATTTACATCACCGACAAGAATATGTCCCTCCTTCAAGGTCGTCCGTCGTATCTACAAGACACTGAGGTAGATGCCTGGTATCCAAGAGTTTCTCCTGATGCTTCTTACAAAGCCTGGGACGAGCTATTCATCTTGGGAATCAAGTTCGCCAAGATTCAAGGTGAGGTTTATGGCCACCTTTATTCGTTGATTGCACGTCATTCCTCTCGCGTCCAGCACGAGCAAGCTGTCAAAAAGCTTTCGGACAAGATGCAATCCTGGTATATTGACTTGGGCAAAGTAAGCTCTTTGTTTTGTTTCCGCTGCACAATGCCTCACTGACTTGACTTAGCTTGACTCAACCCAGATGAAAGACCAGGAGGTATTCGAACTCTCCAGGAAAAGCTGGGATGTCATGTATTACTCTACCTTGACTTTGATCCTGATTAAGGCACCGACCACGGATGAAGAATCAGGTATCAGTCCGAAATGTGTCGAAGCCGCTCGGGCCGGACTACAAAGTCATCTCATCTGCTTTTCCAGCTATCAGACTATCGACAGCCCTGGCTTGGTCTCGGAATCCGACTACGCGAGCTGGTCAGTTCCCCAAATCTCTTGTCGTTGCTATTCTCAACTACTAACCCATGTAACTAAAGGGTCCTCCACCAGTCATCATTGAACCCATTCATTGTCATTTTTCTTCACGCTATTGAAGCTGATAATGGCATGGAAGATGTTTGCCTTCTAGACCATATGGTAGCTGTCTTGGAGAGGATTTCCGGAGTATCACACGCCTGCCAAGCCCTCTTCAAGGTCTGCTCCACGTTCGCTCGACTCGCAAGGGCACTGATTGAAGCGCGAATGAATAGCGCTGCCTCACACAGCCAGGCAAGAGACGCTCTTCAAGCCTTCACCGAAACGCATTCAGTATCCCAATTTGGCCTGGAGCCGTTCGAAGGATTCTTTGGAGCCAATATGATAGAGCAGCTTACCAACCATGAATCTTACAGCTTTGCATCTATGCTGGGTAGCTGGACTACTGATGAGACGGAAACTTTAAGAGGAGTCCCGGAATAGTTCAGAGGACTTTTAAAATTGTCTCCAGTCTAATTAAGGATATTTAAAATCGCATTGGCAGTTTCAAAATCTTCTAAAGTCTGTCAGATGAATCCACCAGATCATGGGTACACTATATCCAATGAGTTCCTTTCGTGGTATCGGGCCGATGTCCAATTGTGGGTTCTCTACCCGAGTCAGCTTGTCTTGCCCTTGCCGGAGGCACGGGGAGCGCGGTTCCACGCCATCCCGCGTTTGAACCGAGGCCGGACCATGCTTCTATAAATGAGGATGGCAGAGAAGAGTATAAGGAAGGCATAAATAATTAATAGCCTTCTACATAGAATAACAACTTATACATCATTATCAACACTCCCTCCTGATCCTGCTCGCAAGCCCTTTAAAATGTCGCATTCCTCACCAGTATCAGATGTCGACAACCTGGGCATCGAGCCCCTCACTGCATTGGATGCTTTGATGCCTAAGAATTACATTCGTGTGCTTCTGGCTTTTCGGACTTCCGAGCCCTTTAACGTGGTCTCTCAACGACTTCAGTCTGGTCTGAATGCTACCACAGAGAAAATACCGTGGATATCTGGACAGGTTCGTTCCACTGGCGATGGCGACAAACAGGCTGCCCATGGGGCAGTCTATTACTCCTCAAATTTAGACTCCCCGCAGATCATTGAATGTGGCTCAATTGACGAACCAATGTCAAGCCTAGAGGTTCACGCGATGCACTCTACCACCATTCCAGAAGATGTCTGGCCACTTGGCGCATTACCTGGAAGCGACGATTCTTCTGTTTTTGGAGCAAGTATCTTTCGCTTCAAAGATGGCCAAGGACTTGGACTATGTGTTTGCATGCATCACCACGCAGTTGACGCGGCGGGTTTCTCCGAAGTACTCAAGATTTGGGCTCAGGAAACAACCACACGTGGATCGTCTACATCGCCGTCTGGTGGTACCAGGCTTTCTCGTATTTCTGAAGCACTTGCTTCTCAGATTAGTGAGGCATCTTCTAAGGGTACGGAGCAGCTATTCAGGTTGCTCCCTGAATACTCTCCTATTCCTCCAGCCATGCCAGCGAGCTTCCCGTCCTTCGCTTCTCAGATGTTTACGATACCAACTGATCATCTGGATGCCTACAAACAGGTTTTGGCCCCTCTCCTAGAAACGCCCCCTTCCGCCAATACTGTGCTTTGTGCACTTTTATGGTCTTTCATCACGCGCATTCGGGCACAGCATGAAGAAAACACCTTATCTCTCACCTCAAGCCGGCTGGTTATGGCTGTCAATGGCCGTCGGCGAATTGGTCCCAGCTTCTCCCCGCCAGACAACCCCTACATCGGTAACCTTGTTCTGTACGCTTCAGCTGAACAACCTTTTGACACTCTGAAAAACGCTGCAGCGACTGTCCGTGATTGTGCAGAAGTATGCAATACTATCGCTCAATCGTTTGCCCCAACCAAGATCAACTCGCAGCATATTGCCAATGTTTACGAACTAGGCAGACAGGCCGGGGACTGCACCACAATATTCCCTGGGTGGGACCTTTTCAACCATAGGGATGTCACGATCACCAGCTGGGCCGATCTAGATTTGTATCAGATGAACTGGGGCTCAGAGCTTGGGCGGCCCGACTTTGTCCGCTTCCCTTTTAGCGCAGCAGATGGAGTGTGCATTATCCTGCCTCGCAGGAGAGCCAAGTCCGCGTCTCATTCTCAGAATCTTGTTGAAGTGGTTGTCATGCTCAAGGCAGAGCATCTGGAAGCCCTCAAGACGGATAGGTTGTGGCAAAGCCTGGTAGGAGAACAATGAGCCATTCGTACTTTTGGATCACCTGAAAGCTTTGTTCTTATCATTTAACTCTTATACCGCCTAGAAATGATATTAGTTTCTTACCAATAAATTGCAAACTTTATGACGCTGAAGACAGTCTTCCACAGCTGAGGTATAGTATCAAGTATTGATCAGTCCTAAAGCATTCGCTTCCCTGGATAACGAAATAATGTAAATGCCGCCTAAGGTCTCTCTCTAAATGTGAAAAACATACCCTGCCTTTGACCATGACCATAACATGTTGTAGGAAGATACTCATTGAAAATATGTATAATGTTGTAGCAGACCAACGATGTATCCATGGCGACTATGGCGCGACCTCGTTATTCCAGGTTGCTACGGCTCATTTGAGGCTCTATGGAGTTATTCAGTCAAGTTTACTGTGGGGATAGTTATCCCTGGTGATGGTGGTGGCGAAAAGGTACTACATGCTTCCAGCTAATGCTCGCCGGATGTATTGTCGCGCCTCGCCAACAGTGCACAGTATTATTAGCCGATCCCTTCGGTGAGATACCAGAAACATACTAGTCTGCATCAAGTTGAACACTATGAGTTTCCCTCCATTCATATCTGCTCCGTCGATGTGTCCGTTATGTGATCACTGATACGTAACTGCCGCGGATCCGCGGTGACCGACACTCCGAAATGTGGACGGTTCACGATTCGACATCCTTGCTCGCAACTGCGAAGCGAAAAGGGGAATAGGGGAATGTCCATAATACAAAAGGGTATTACCCAAGGCGCGTTTGTTGGTATTACCGCTCTCTCTACCCTTTACTTACCGCTGTGCGTATTTATCTGGTGGGATCTTTACGGCTTCTGTCATCAGATTCGGTCTTCACGCCAAATTTCCTTATACATCACTCTCTTCATTCAGCAAACTGTACATCTTGACTTCTTGTTCACGTCTTTGCAATGGATGGTGAGTCTAGTAACAGCCATACCTTAGTTCAGGATGCGGCTTCTTAGACCGCATATCCTTACTCATCATTACTTCTAGATGATGCCGCAGCTCTCGTCCTCGACAATGGGTATGTCGCTATCAGCTTACGTCAGCTGATATTATTCGACTCTTGGGGACTGATCATTCTCTTTCAGGTCAGGCATGTGTAAAGCGGGCTTCGCAGGGGACGATGCCCCCCGTGCTGTGTTCCGTACGTTATTCCCAGATCCTTCACAATCCAACATGGTTATCTGCTATCTTACATTCTTGACCTCAGCCCAAAACCCAGTCTGCTTTGTTGATGCCGTCACTGATCATAGTATAGCATCAATTGTCGGGCGCCCTCGCCATCATGGGTAAGCATACATCCCTCATGCCGCGTAATATTTTTCGATGAAGGATGAGAAAGGGTCACATGCTTGACCAGAAATGATCAAGCCTTTCGATTCCTGAGACGTGATGTCTAGAGCTAACCATGTGCTCTTACTATAATAGAATCATGATCGGGATGGGCCAGAAAGATTCCTATGTCGGAGATGAAGCAGAGTCTAAGCGCGGTATCCTCACGCTTCGGTACCCTATTGAACATGGTATAGTTACCAACTGGGATGATATGGAAAAGATTTGGCATCATACATTCTACAACGAGCTCCGCGTAGCTCCCGAAGAACACCCTGCTCTTTTGACTGAAGCCCCAATTAACCCCAAGTCGAATAGAGAGAAGATGACGCAAATCTTCTTTGAAACATTTAATTCGCCAGCTTTCTACGTTTCCATTCAAGCCGTCCTTTCTCTCTATGCATCGGGCCGCACGACTGGTATTGTCTTTGATTCTGGCGACGGAGTTACTCACGTCGTTCCAATCTACGAAGGCTTTGCCATCCCACATGCTATCTCTCGTATCGACATGGCCGGCCGGGACTTAACTGACTATCTTATGAAGCTATTAACAGAGCGTGGATATACGTTTTCGACTACTGCTGAACGCGAGATTGTTCGTGATATCAAAGAAAAGCTATGTTACGTCGCTTTAGACTTTGAGCAAGAAGTCGAGACAGCAGCGAAAAGCTCGGCGTTAGAAAAGACGTACGAGTTACCAGATGGCCAGGTGCTTACAATCGGCAATGAACGTTTCCGAGCTCCCGAAGCCCTCTTCCAGCCTGGCGTTATCGGCTTAGAATCGGGCGGTATCCATATGACAACCTTCAATGCAATCATGAAGAGCGACGTTGATATTCGAAAAGACCTTTATGGTAACCTAATCATGGTATAGCTCCACCTACCTGATGAGTTCAAAGGTGAAGAAAACCAAGTCACTGACTTGTGATCTTAGTCTGGAGGCACAACCATGTACCCTGGTATCGCCGATCGGATGCAGAAGGAGATTGTTGCCCTGGCTCCTTCATCTATGAAGGTCAAGGTTGTAGCTCCTCCTGAAAGGAAATATTCGGTTTGGATCGGAGGTTCTATTCTCGCATCGCTTTCGACATTTCAGCAGATGTGGGTTACCAAACAGGAGTATGATGAGAGTGGCCCGTCTATTGTTCACCGCAAATGCTTTTAGCGCCATGATTGCTGCCATCACGAGTCCCAGGCAGAAACAATAACCAAGCCAGTAATGGGGAGCCAAGATGATTAAATGGGTCGAGCAGAAAGGGAAATACTACGAATGCTACCGAGTCAAGGACGGTGAAGCCCGCGCTCTGAACAGTATGTTCAGATACAGTATAGACAGGGGAGTGTTTCATGATGCTTTGCAGTTAGAAGTCGAAAGACTTTTCAAAAGAGCTGTGTCTGGGGGTAATTGGTTGAACTAGCATGCTGTTAACTACTCTGGTCGCAGATAATATACTGACTGATGACAATTCTGTCCCTCGCAATTATTGTTATTATTGAGTTAGTATGACTTATTTACTTACAGCAGTAGGAACCTACAACGAGAGAAAAGCATGTCTTAAATACTAGTTAGTCGTTTCTTATACTGTGCAAGGATGTATTACTAGATATGTTTTGTTATTTCTTTTCTTCCTATAGAAACTTTCAACATTTTGAATGTTCGCTCTGATTTCATTATGCTCTGGGCTTAAATAAATACCTATAGAGCTTTCCCTAACTTATCTAACTTAATAATCTGCTTCTAATAATGTGGTTAATAAGCAAGTAACCTAGTTAAGCGAGTGACCTAAAAATCCCTATTAATTTTATTATATAGATAATAAGATTACTATAACCTATCTAATTAATTAAAACTACTTATTATACTCTTCTCCTAAGGCCTAAATATCCTCCTAATAGGTCCTTATATTATACCTAGTCTTACTGCAGATACTATAACGCCTAATGCCTAATCTAATTAATCTTCCTTAACTACTACTTCTTAATAATTTGGCTACTACCTATATATTAATATCTATTAGATTAATTACTTAAGATACTTATTATATTATTATTATCCCTTCTTTCTATAATCTTATCCTTTTTACCCTTTAGTATTAGCTTAATATCTTATTTACTTATTAAAGTTCTTTATTCTTAGCTATTAATAAGGCTACCTTATATATAACTGCCTTAGCCCTCTTAGAAAGATAGTTAAAGGTATTAAGAATTAACTTTAAAGAGCTATTATAATATCTTCTAATTTATCTAGTAATATATTTAAATTAAGATTTAGTTTTTTATATTATATTTAGGGTCTTTAAAGCCTAAGGGGTTAAAGGTTAGCTAACCTTCTTAGGAGGAGTTAAAATCTATAGCTATATATTAAGCTTTAAGATTATAATTTCTAGGTTAAGAGAAGTAATTCTAGCTCCTTTAAATCCCCCTTAGATATTACTTTTTATAAAAGTAACCTTAAAAGTAATATAAAAGGCTAAAAAGAACTTAGTCTTAGAAATATAAGTTATAAAGTATCTAATTAAATACTTTATTTCTTAATTATAAGCCTTTTTTAATATTATAAAATACCTAATATTAAGAGGCTAGAGTAGGTAAGATATATAAGTAGGTATATAAAGTATAATAATCTTATACTTCTAATAATATCTCTTAAAATCAGCAGAGTAATAGCTTTTATAATTATTAAGGATTAAGAGATAATAGGGATTAGTTAATCTATTAGTTATAAATTAATTAAAGTACTTTAGCTACTTAAGACCTAGCTTATTATTTATTTACCTATTTTAACTTATTATAATAACCTAATTAGGTAAGAGGTTACTTTCTTAGTATTAATTAATAAGGTAATATTAGCCTAAATTAATAATAAATAGTATAATTACTTAGCCTTTTATATTAATTACCTAAATTACTATAATTTATTTCTAATTTTTAGGTTATATTAATTTTAGTCTTTTTTACCTTTTTAAGCTTATAATTATAATTCTAGCTATTATAAGGCCTATTATAAAGCTAATCTTATTAAAGTTCTAGATATTATCTAATTAAATATTATACTTTATAATTATATTTTATATAAGCCTAAACTAGCTATAAATAATAATTAAATCTTTATATTTAGCTTTTTAATAGTTATATCTCTAAAAGATATATATCTTTAGCTCTAGTTATTATTTAATAAAATTATAAGCCTAATACTTACTAATAAGTAGCTTATTATAATCTATAAGCAGGGAATTAGCTATTTCTTTTATAAAATATAATTATAAGAGGAATCCTTATAAATCTAAGTTAAAAATAAATTAAACTATAATCTATTCCTTTAAATTAAATAATTTCTAAGAATTTAAGATAGAATTATATTATACTTATATACTATTATAGTAGTATTATAATATATAGTAGTATACCTTATATATAATTACTACTTATTATATACTTAGTTTTAGATTATTTTAAAGGGCCTAAAGGGTAAAGAGGATTCTAGCTTTATTTAAAGACTATAATATACTAGGTAGTTAAAAATCAATTAATTAGATAGTTTAAATATAAGGTGAGGGATTTTTAGGTTACTTGCTTAACTAGGTTACTTACTTATTAACCATGTTACCCATATAAGCTTACACAAACCAACACCCTAGCAAGGTCCAATACATTAATAGTACTATAAAGCTTATCTATAAGCCTTATTACAAACCTTATGTTAATATTATATAATTAGAACTTTGTAGAGATCCTTATTAAATGAAATATTATAACTTCTTAGATTGAGCCTTTTATTATTTAATTAATTTCTATTAGTAATTTAAATATATTTTTTTTATTACTATTAGTCTTAGAATAATTTATTATTAATAGGTATTATTATATTCTATTTAGAGTATCTTTTAAAACCTATATATAAGTTAAAAATATTTACTAATAATCCTTAAAGTTTTATATATAAGCCTTTATAAGAATAAAACTTATTTTGTTTAAAAATTAGATAAAGTTTAATAATTTATTTATAGTAATTATGAGAAATATTAAGTTAAAGCCTTTATATATTAATGGCTTTATTATGAAATCTATACAGCTACTTGCCATCACCCTGATAACATACCGCAGCCGGACGCCTCCGTGTTTCCTCTCCAGTGGGGTGTTATGTGGCGACAGAGAGAAGGTTCTGGCTGGGAGCTTACGGACCACTGTGAATTTTCTTAATATCTGGTCGAGAAGCCAAAAGATGGAATTGTGTATCGTTGATGATATATTGCAGTCTAGTTTGTTTAACGAAGGTCTCTAGTACCCAGTAGAGATGGCGAATGGAGAGGCTAGATCTCGTTGCAAATACACGGAAGAGGTTGAGGCTATGAGCGAGACAAATTTTCTGCATCAACATAAGGTGTAGTGGGAGTTGCGCTGCCAGATGCTTTAGGACACTTTCAATTTATAGTACTTTCTCAAGGTAACGCATCTATACACGTCCGTCGACCTTGAAATGGACTAGCTGAAAGCTTAATCGGGCCATAGAGCTATTACTTCATTTTCCGGAGTCTATAAGCGCCCCCTCCTCTTCTGCATACAAGAATAATATTGTTTTACAGGAAGGTGGGGCTAATCCCAGCCTCAATCTAACAAACCTTCTCGCTTGCATATAGTAACAATGATGCCAAAGCTCGCCAAGTCCTCTGTAAGCAACCCAGCCCCATGGCATATTAGACATACAGGGCTCCGTACTTGATCACTGAATCTTTGCCTTTCTACCTCTTACGTTGCTAAAGGCTGAGGGCCCACATATCGGCATTTTCGGCGAGCAAGCGGCATGATTCGGGCACGCGGCGGATGCACCAACTGCCGGCGTCACCGGAAAAGGTGTGACCAGCAGCGACCTTGCTGCACGCGCTGCAGGAGCCGGGGCTATGAATGCTCCGGCTACTCGAATCCACAGCGGTGGGTAAACTATGCTGCAGTATCGACTGTCTCTTCGAATCCAGCACCTCAAGAAGTCACCTCGAGCCTGGCGCTTCCTGCCCCGCCACCTAAGTATGAGACAAAAATGACACTGCCTCTATTTCATCAATGTATACCGAGCAAATCCGTTTATACCGCGTGATCATAACGAGCTAATCATCACGGCAGATGTGAACTACGGGCTGAGAATGTTTTGCAAAGGGTACTCCCAGAGCTGGATACGGCCGTTTTTCCTCAATATATCGACAACAAGCCCCTCTGTCCCGATTCTCTCTGCTGCCATACAGTTCTACATCCACCAAGGCTCTTCTGTGCCTGTCCTGGAATGCATTGATCTTGCCTTGAAGACTTTTCGTTACGAAGTCGTGTCGTACCAGGACACATTGAAAGCTGGTATTCTCTCAGCCGGTGTCTTGTTATGTAAATTGAATGCAAGTCCTGAAAGGCTTTGGCCAAGCTTACGTCCCATTAAATGCTTACAAGATAAAGAATCTAACATAATTGTATATGTAGTTTCTCCAAGCTCAGCCTTGTACACCATATATTCGTATGATATCGGAAGTCTACAACTTGAACACTCAAATGAACTTTCCGGCCCTGCAACAGAACGTTGCTGTACGACACGCCCTTGAGCTTCTGGCTGTTATGGACATTCCACGACTTGTCCTTGGAAGAGTTTGCCCTTCTCTTGGTCTCTGGAAACGCTTCCGTGAGGCTCAGGATAGCTGGGAAGGTGGCAGAATGACGGGCGTAGAGGTGGTTTCGGGAATGCCGATGGACCTGCTGGATATATTCGCCGATGCAGAGCATGACGATACAGAGAATCTAATCCTCCGCCTATCACTGTGGGAATGGCAAGGTGATACCGCCGAGTGTCTTCAACATAATTTGTGGGATGCTTGGCGCCTGGCTGGCATCGTAGATCTTAGGAGACGGGACCGATGCAGGAGAAGGTTACAGGATCGACAACCTGACCATGATGCAGACGAATCTTGTGGAGATACATCTGTCCTCAACCGCTTGATGGCAGTTGTTTCCATTATCTTTGACTGCTCAAGGCTCCCAAAGCATAGGCACGTACTCATCGGTCTTATATTCCCTCTCGTTGTGGTTAGCCTGGAGGTGCCTTATCTAAAGCGACATGCCGAGGCGAAGCAAATCGTGGACAATGTGCGGAACACGATTAAAGCGGAACGAACGTATAATTTAGCCAAGGTGGTGTTTCAGCTGCTTGATGATGCTTGGAATGATGGCTCATCTTGGTACGATATAGACGAAAGGGCGCGATCTCAAGGTGTAGAAGTAGCTCTGATGTAGCCAGAACAGAATTATTGATATGTCACCACTGAAAGCCTCTAGATAGCAAAAGGCACATGGAGTCATCTTTCAAAGTAGAGATTTATGAGTCGATTATGTTCCTGTTCCTTGTGCATCATTCCACCACTCCGGAGATGCTATGCACGAAGGAGCCAAGCAGACCGCGTATAAGTCCAAGAATACAGATTATGGCTCATGGAAGTCCAAAACCCTTGATGTTTCTAGCCCAGTCTTTCCAGTTAAATTCATCACCAAACATACCAACATCTGCGGCCAACTTTTCAACACTTGCATTCGCAGTAAGGGAAAGGTTCAACCAGGAAGGGAGCTTTTTATGGTGCATGGAAGGACTATCGTGCATCGAGTCTGTACCAACACCTTGTGCTTGCATCTCGTTATCATTCAACCCAGTATATCCACTGCCTACTCCGAACATTGACAAATCCATCGGCTTTTCTGAAGGTTGCCATGCGGATGTATCCGAAAGAGACATGGCAGTTCTGTAGAACTCGGGGTTCGTGTCAGTTTGGTGTTTCGAAGACTCATCGGACAAAGTTGGTGAACTGGATGGGACTGTCGATGATAGGCAGGGCGGTTGTACCCCTTTTAAAAAAGGCGTATTACTTTTGCCTCCCATGATGAGAGCATTCCACTTGGCTCTGAAGAGGTCCATCATCTCGTCATCACCACCAAACTGGTCGCCAAAAGGCAAAACGATAGCAGCCATGCGTTCAGTGTGCTCAAGGTGATTAGCTTCCTCCAGATCCTCTCTCAGACGTACGATCTCCCGATCTCGATGTCTGTTGGCTCTCAGCCACAGCTTCTTCACTGGTAAAACCACTGAATGATAAGCCTGGGTTTCGAGGTAGCGAGGATCGCGCTGTTGGTAGGCCCGGACAGCCTGCCATCCTCGTTCAACGAGTGGTGTCCACGGGCGCCGACAGCTCTCGATGAGAAAGTAGGCTATGGCATGCCAGTTGGTAAAGGTCTGGAAAAGCCATCTGTATTGCTGGACTTTTGGATCCACGTGAAGCCTATGGTCATACTCGAGGATGTTGACGGCGGCCCGGTAGACGCATTGCCTTGCCTCGTCAAAAAGCTGGCTCTGCACATCAGTCGCTGGAAAAAGAGCAGGATGGTAGATAACAAAATAGATCTTGGCCCTAAGAGAACGCGCAATCATCGCCGCCATATCGTATAATGGATCACTCTTATCTATCCACTTGAAGAACTTTTCATCTACACGTTTGTAGACTTCAAGCAGCATTGTCTTTTGCTCTTCTACCGTCGCCACTGTAGATACGGCTTCGATTACCTGTCGGGAAAGCTTGCAAATCTCGCACCGGAATAAGAACAGGGTCGTATCAGTGCGCCCTTCTCGCGGCGCGGGTGAGTCCACTAGGTCTGGGCTGATGTCTTTATCGTTCAGATTCGAGGGCATCTGTGTATCAAACGTCGATTTTCCCACGATTAGGTCAGTACCGAGCTCCTCTGCAGATCGAATGTCCAATTGCAAAAGTGCCCACCATAAACGCCTTCGTAGCTCTTTCTCGAACGGTCGGAGAGCCAGCTGGGAACCGTCACGATGGAGACCCATACCACGAGCCAGGTGGATAGCAAGTCCCGTCAAGGACCAGCAAAGACGAGACTCGCCTTCATGCCGCACAACAGCTAGGAATATGGATAGTGCTTGGAGGACGGTAATGTCTGAGGTAACGAGGAAGTCTACTCGCGACAGGGCTTGCTCAGTAGCAAATCGATATCTAGCCAGGGCTTCGTCCTTGCTCTGACCAAGGTTGGAGAGGACGTCTTTGGGATCGAGGGATACGACGGCGGCGTAATAGATGGCTCGTATCAATGCTTGGTATGCGGCGGATAGTTGGCTAAATCTCGTTTTTGCATCGTGAAATACCTTTTCCATCGCTGGGACATGGACTGCTTTGAGCAGCGGCTCGACATTCTCTTGGTAGATAGACCAGAGATATAGAACCTGATCTGGCTCAGGGTGATATATGGCCGGAATAGAGTTGAAGGGGAGGTGCCCAAAGACGAACGGGCTATGGGCTGAGAAGGAGGCACGTAGTGTGACATTGTCGTCCCCGTTGCTCGAGCAGGCATCGTCCGGGTTGTTGGGTGATGCCTCGCGAATGGAGGTCCACTACTCACACTTTAGACAAATGAAGACGAAAGAGAAATATATGCAGGAAATATTACCTCCTCATCCAGTTTTGCCCAGATGCCATCGCAGACATACCTCTTGCTACCAGTCTCTTCATGTAACACCAATCGCCCAAGCTTGTGTTGTAGCTCGTAAGATCGAAGCGAGTGACCTGGGTCGCTCGTAAGATTATCCCTCGCAAGCTCTTGACAAAGTGTTTCGGGGCTCGAGGAATGGCTTGGTGAGTCTTTGGGAGTGCAGGTTTGAGTTTGTGATGCCGCATGGCTTGGGGTAGATGACGCGGCAGACTTGAGTGTAGGTTCGCCATTAATGCGATCGCCAAGTTTCTCAATCATCTGCTCCAACACGCTGACTTTCACAGCGAGTTCATTATCTGCGATCGATTGAACACCATGGCGCCTGATTCGAGTCCGTCGTGGTGCCCGTCCTACGGGGTAAATGCAGGGAACTTGAACACGTCGACAGGTTGAACACGGGGACTCTTTATTGCAACGGACCTTGCGACGTCTACATAGGAAGCAGGACTGCGGTCGCAAAGGAGATACTGGAGAGTGGTGGTCAATAGTATAAGACGCTTGATTGTGGAGAGAGAGTGGAATCGGGGCAACAGGCGTGTTGTTGATGGCTGCTGCTGCTGCTTCCGTAGTAAAGAGAGGAGACTGGACCTCAGATTCGTTCATACTTGGTGAGGGGTGACAAATCGACAAGCTGGTGAGATCATGAATGAAAATTCCAGACAAAGGGGTGTGGGAGGGAAGCCCAAGGAGGTCGTCGACTCATTTCATGGCTTACTTCGGAGCAGTCTATCCGTTCTCAGAGGATGGTGCCTTACAGACCCTGCGCAGGGGTGGGCCAGGTGGAGTTTACTAGGGTGTCGCTTATGCTAACTGTATTTACACAAGTCTCACCTAGCTACCCAGGGGTTAGTATCCAACAACGTCCTCCAGCAGCAGTCCGCGGAGCACGAGCAAAGACTCCACTTGACTCCAAAACCGAAGACACGACTGGATTTGGGACCAGAAATAGTGCTAGACCATTATGGGAAACAGATCAGTAAAAAGAACATGGGAATTTGCCGAGCTTCAAGGACTGCACACCTACCCTACGCCCCTAACAGGCATAAACCGTCTGCGTTTCGTAACCAGGAATTAAGTCAATCTAGATAGTGATAATAAATCTCAGAATCTTGTGTAAACTTGAAGCCGGCTCTAGAATACTCCGTCTAATAACTAATAGGCCGAACCCGACTCCGAGGCCGACGCACCGAAGAACAGGTCCACATTCGGGGATCAGAATGTTCAAGGTGAACCTCATGGGCAACCAGAAGATGTCTTATAAAATAGTTCAAGATCAACGACCACAGAGTGTCGCAGAAGTCCACATACACCTCAAAGATTCTTTTGGAATAACCCCAAGATGAATGCCACAACTTCACCTACCTCCTCGGAGATAACATCCGTGGACAACCTCGACGAAACAATTGGGAACATAGCTCGGCAAGTCACGCAAACGTCAAACCGTGATCCCGGACACAGCACAAACACAAATAACGCTATCAATCCACAAAAGGGAAGTAACCTCGATCCTTTCTCGCCTGCATTCGACGTAAAGGCCTGGACCCGGGCGTTCATCGACGTCTTCGATGCCGACCCCAACGCCGCGCCTCACCGGGCAGTCGGTGTTGCCTACAGGGACCTGAGTGTCTGCGGTTCCAGCACGGGGAGTCAATACCAGAAGACTGTTGGAAACATCTTGCTAAGCACGGTCACATCCCTCTTTGAACAATTGACCGGCAGAGCCAAGAATCAGGTTAAGATTCTCGATGGGTTCGAGGGAAAGGTCGAGCCGGGCGAAATGCTCCTCGTGCTTGGGCCGCCTGGTTCAGGATGCTCGACTCTGCTCAAGACGCTTGCAGGACGAAAAGAGGGTCTGGAAGTCTCCAAGGAGTCTCACATCAGCTATCGAGGTCGGTGATACGCTTGCCCGTGATGAAACCAACGGTCAGGCTAATGTCTAACTCTGAACGTAGGAATCGACCCGGCTGACATGCACACTCGCTTCAGAGGCGATATCATGTACAACGCCGAGCTCGACGTCCACCTCCCCGCACTAACGGTTGGCGACACCCTCGAATTCGCCGCACGAGCACGAGTACCCTCTGTCGTCCCCGGTGGTTTCTCTCCAAAGCAGTTTGCGCGCATTCTACGAGACGTAACCATGGCCATGTTCCGCATTACCCATACCATCAACAGCAAGGTTGGCAACGATTATATACGCGGTGTGTCAGGGGGTGAACGAAAGCGTGTTAGTATTGCCGAGGCCGCTCTGGTACGGGCCAAGTTGCAATGCTGGGATAATAGCACCCGTGGCCTTGATAGTGACAATGCGCTATCTTTCTGCGAGACCCTTCGAGTACAAGCCGATATCATGGACATTGCGGCGGTGGTTGCGATTTATCAGGCTCCCCAGTCGGCTTATGATGTAAGTGGGATGTTTGCCCTCCTTTAGTCTTTTGCCAACAACTGACGTGTCGCAGGTCTTTGACAATGTCACCGTCTTATATGAAGGGCGGCAGATCTTCTTCGGACCTACGAAGGATGCGAGAAGATACTTTGAAAGCTTAGGATTTGAATGTGAGCACGAGTCCTAAACTCTTGTGTTGGCACGGCAAAGCCACTGACTTCTTGCAGCCCCTGAGCGACAAACAACAGCAGATTTCCTGACCTCCATGACATCTCCCCACGAACGCCGAATTCGATCCGGTTGGGAATCTCAGGTCCCAAGAACAGCAGCCGAATTTGCTACTCGCTGGCAGGAGTCTAAAGAACGCAAAGCCCTGCTGGCTCAGCTTTCCGCCTATGACCAAGACCATCCACGAGAGGAGCGGCTACAGCATTTCTCCGCCAGCCACAAAGCCGAACGCAGCAAGGCTCAACGCCTCAAGTCTCCTTACACCATTCCATATCTTCGTCAAGTCCAGCTATGCCTGTGGCGAAGCTGGAAGCGCTTGGTAGCGGACCCTGGCTTCACCATTGCCCAGCTACTCTTCAACCTCGTTATGGGCTTTGTGCTGGGCAGTATGTTTTATAAACTTCGTGACGACACGAGTAGTCTCTATTACCGTGGTGGTTTGATCTTCTTCGCCATGTTGTTCAACGCGTTTGCAAGCGAGCTGGAAGTGAGTTAGAACCAACTCCAGAAAGCAGCCCGCATTGTCTTACCGAGCTAACATCCCCGCTATTAGGTCCTCACCCTCTATGCCCAGCGCCCCGTGGTGGAGAAACACAACCAGTATGCTCTTTATCACCAGTCAGCTGAAGCCATTGCGAGCTACGTTATGGAGCTTCCATACAAGACGACCAATACCATTGTCTTCAATCTCATTCTTTACTTTCTGGCCCAGCTTCGGCAGGATGCCGGGGCGTTCTTCTTCTTTGTTCTTACTGCCTATCTCATCCTGCTGACCATGTCAGGAGTATACCGTACGGTGGCATGTATTACCAGGACCTCACACCAGGCAATGGTACCGTCCGCTATCCTTACCCTCGGCCTGATGCTTTACAGTGGGTTCACTATCCCTGTTGGTTCTATGAGGGGCTGGGCACGATGGATCAACTATATCAACCCCCTCGCGTATGGCTTTGAAGCACTGATGGTGAACGAAATGCACGGTCGACAGTTTCCCTGTGCCAGTATCGTTCCATCTGGACCTGGGTATAGCCACTTGACTAGTTCTCAGAGCACTTGCGCCGTCGTTGGGGCTGTTCCCGGTGCTACGACTGTCAATGGAGACAGATATCTGGGGGATACCTACCAGTACTACTACGCTCATAAGTGGAGGTCAGTAATATCGCGCGTGATCCAGACTCCTTATGCTGATGAACAGCCAGGAACATCGGAATACTCTTCGGTTACACGATTTTCTTCTTCTTCACCTACATTTTGAGTGCAGAGTATGCTCGTCCTGCGCCCAGTCGGGGTGAAATACTGGTCTTCCGTCGCGGGGCATCTTTTCCTACCAAGCAGCACCAAAACGACGAGGAGCTCCAGTCCACTGGCCATCAACTTGTTGAGAAGCCTTCCACGCCGTCCATGCCGCAAAGCACACCCTCCTCCAAGCAGCCAGCACCTAGCGTATGTGGCAAATCAGTCTTCCACTGGGAAGACATTTGCTATGACATAATGATCAAGGGTAAAGAGCGAAGAATCCTGGATCATGTTGACGGGTGGGTACAGCCCGGAGTGACGACTGTTCTCATGGTGAGCCACCAAATCCTGCACACTCCAAGTAACAAGGATTAACAAAGTTTATAGGGCGCCTCGGGAGCCGGCAAGACGACACTCCTCGACACACTGGCAGGTCGAATCTCGGTCGGGGTACTAAGCGGCGATACCCTGGTCAACGGTATACCGACTGGTCGCTCATTTCCCCATCAGATCGGTTACGTCCAGCAGCAGGACCTTCACCTCAACACCATGACGGTCCGTGAAGCACTAGAATTCAGCGCTGTACTTCGCCAAAGCGATAGCATCCCTCGAGAGGAAAAGCTGGCCTACATCGACGAAGTTGTCTCAGTCTTGGAGATGTCCGAGTATATCGATGCTATCATTGGCGTGCCTGGCGAAGGCCTGAATGTGGAACAACGTAAGCGTCTAACAATTGGGATCGAGCTAGCTGCCCGGCCCCAGCTTCTCATCTTCTTTGACGAGCCAACGTCTGGACTCGACTCACAAACATCTTGGGCTATTTGCGATTTGATTGAAAAGCTTGCTAGGAGTGGGCAAGCTGTTTTGTGCACTATTCATCAACCCTCGGCGATGCTCTTTGCTCGGTTTGACAGGTTACTTTTACTGCAACCGGGCGGCAAAACGGTTTACTTTGGTGGTAAGTCTTACTCCTGCCCTCTCTCGAGTCTCTTCTCACACATATCCAAGAGATCGGTGACAACAGTCGGACCATGATCGACTATCTCGAGAGGAACGGTGCATTGCCTTGTCCGCCGGAGGCGAATCCCGCCGAATGGATGCTCAAGACAACTCTCCCGTCTGCTGATGGCCCACAATGGTTTGACGTCTGGCAGGCCTCACCAGAGTATTCAGACATGAAGCAGGAGCTTATTAGATTGCGTTCAATGGAACCTGCGGCTAATTCCGATGCGCTCTCCTCCGCCAACACTTCTCACGAGGGCGAATTTATCGTCTCAGTTACGACGCAGCTTCGCGAGGCATTCCTACGTATGGCCAAGCACTTTTGGCGATCTCCCGTCTATATCTGGTCAAAACTCTCAGTCACCATTCTTTTTGTGAGTCTACCCAGTATCCGGACCGGAAAGTAACTCCAACAATTGACCATGGCATAGTCTCTCTTCATTGGCTTTAGCTTCCACGCCGACAATAGTCTTCAAGGCCTTCAGGATCAGCTATACTCGGTCTTCATGTGTGTCCTCATCTTCAACCCATTCAACAAACAAATCATGCCCATGTTTGTACCGCTTCGTGCTCTTTACGAGGTTAGGGAGAGGCCCTCGAGGATTTATCGCTGGACAAGTAAGTGCATATCCCCTCTGATCTCTCTGTCGGCTAATCTGACTCAAACACAGCATTTATCCTCTCTCATGTCCTAATCGAGCTCATCTGGAACACCCTCGCTGCCGCCATCTTCTTCTTCTGCTGGTACTACCCCGCTGGCTTCGTTCGTAATACGACTTCAGATGATATCCACATTCGTGGCTTCACCGTATTTCTCTTCCTTTGGCAACTTATCCTCTGGATATCGACTTTCTCTCAGCTTGCTATCTGCGCTATCGAAACGGCCGACCTGGCAGGTGTCCCAGCCTCGCTCGTCTCTGTTCTCTGTATGGCCTTCTGCGGCGTCGGGGTGGCTCAGACCGATCTCCCTTCTATCTGGCGCGACTTCATGTATCACGTGTCTCCAATGACATATCTCGTCAGTGGTGCTCTTACAACAAGCTTGCATGGGTCAAATGTGACGTGTATCTCTACTGAGATAGTGCGCGTTCCTGGTCGAGAGGGTCTCGATTGTAGCTCCTTCTTGGCCGCTTTTGTCGAACAGGCGGGAGGTTACCTGATTAATCCCGAATCGAGAGGCGAGTGTCAGTATTGCCCAATGGCAACGACGGATCAGTACTTGTTGCAGTTCAGTATGAAGTATGATGAGAGATGGAGGAACTTTGGTATTGGTTGGGCCTATATCATCTTCAACATTGCTGCAACCTGTGGCTTGTATTGGCTGGCCCGAGTTCCTAGGCGTTAGTTTATTGTCTGCTGGGTCATATTGCAATGTTTCCAGGTTTTACTTCAGGGTTTCAGGGTCAGTGTGAAGAACGGAGAAGAGTCGCTGTTTCTTTGATTAGTTACCCTCGCTGATCTTACATATAGCTATGACAGCTATTAAAGAAACACTTTTAGCATAGACTTTTATTTCTCAGTCGCTGTTAGCGACCTTTCTAGATTTAATATATCGTTGTTCATATTGTGCACCCATTGGAAGTCTTTTAGCCCTGACACTTGGAGGTAGCAGCATGAACTTCGGGGCCATGTGGAGCCGCCTAGTTTGAATTATCGAAGCAGTGAATTGAATGAGTTGGGTCCAGTCGCAGATCATCAACATCCCTTGAGGTATAAATGCTTGAGCCCTTGCAATTCTTAGCCCTATATTAGATCAGTGGATGAAGGCTATGAGATAAATGTGGCTGTCTCACGGATACAAGTAGCAAAATGTTTGGTGACGAAGATGAATACTTTCCACTTTGAAGGTGCTGATGAAGAATTAGCTTGACTCAATCTCCTGTTGAAAACTGTAGGTACCTGGGTGTAATGTTGACGCAACCGAAGCCATGAACGTCCTTGTATGAACCTTTCAAGTTGGTTTTACTATAGACCCGCGCCTACGCAAGTCAGAGCTGGGGTTCCAGGTGATTAAAATTTATCAAACGTACCGAGATGACATCTGTAGCCGCCGCTGCGGTGATAGCATAACAAAGAAGTGAAATCAGCTGCATGGCTACTGTCTGTATAAGAACGAGGAACAAGACGTTTTGGTCGATGAAGCAGTACAGGATAAATGTGCCTTTTGGTAATACCAAGAGATCTTCGTAGTACCCGAGAAGAAGAATATATTGATCAAAGTAAGCGGATGCCAAAAGGTTATAGAGACGATGAAATAGGCCTTGTTCTTTTGTGCAAGGGTCTCGGCATGTTATTGCCGAGTGTCTAATCACACGTGCTGAAAAAGATGCCTTAGCGCTGTGGCTTGATCGACGTTTCAGCTAGCCTATTTTAAGGTAGATAGATGCTTATCTTCATATATTAAGTTGTTAAAACATACTAGTAGCCGACATGCTGAATGAGCCTTTGGCGGAATGCGCGGAATGCGCGGAATTCTTAAAGGTTAGGGTTATGCTATTTGCTTTCCCTGCTACTTCGGTTGCATGCAGCCATGCCCAAGTCTGATCAACATCTCCAGAGACAGTCTCTACATCACTCAAGACAATCCTGTTATTGGATATTGCTTACCAGAGAGGGTCTGGCTTAGCAGGGTGCTACGCATCCCATCGCGTTGGCTCGAGGAGCGGTTAAGTAATAAAGAACAGATAGGTGCCGGGAGCGGAGCAGTTGAGACTCACAATAGCATGTGAATTAACAACATTTATTTCTTTAGAAGTATTATATTTTATTCAAGTTGCTAATAGTATATATAATACTTTATATATAAGAAAGTAAGAGTTATTAAAATAGATAAATACTAAGGGTATATAAAAATAAATTAAGTTTAACTCTTTATAAATAATAGTTTTAATAATTATTATTAAACTTTATATATAATAATAAGATCCTTATACCTAAAGATTAAGGACTTTAATTACTAAATAATTTAGATATATAACATTATTATATTAATCTATAATAATAAATTATAAGTCAAAAGGCTTATACCTATTGGCTCCTCTTCGCTGTCAGCAGTAACAAACACCAGGTTAATTTCCTATCGAGAACTTGGGACCTCAAAATCAATGGGAAGATTAAATAATCCATCCTTCTTCATGCAAGAAATTATATCTGCGTTAAAATCCCATCTTTTATGCCCACGCCCAGGGGTGATCAGCTCGATGCGGGGATTGCATAAACGTTCGAAGACGCGACCCAAGCTCTTAGTTATGTCTGCACCTTGTGGAAATCGACAGAGGATTTCTCCTATCCGATATTAAATAACACTGATCGTTCTTTATCCATTAGGACTTTACTCACCCTTTATTACAGAACGCCCATTTCCAATTTGGTGGTGCCTCTCGGTTGCATCGAAGTAAAATGTCGTCGCCAAAAGAGCATGGCAGAGTTTGGAAATATCAAGCCGACTGTGTTCTTGTGACACATACTTCGCTGCGATGTCTTCTGGTGTTTGGTTCCCTGATATCTTCGGGTTCAACCGCACACATCGAATGGGGTGCCTCTTACTGATGTGACTGAAGGCTTCGTTCCACGGCTTCTCTGACAGTCTATTCCGATCCAGCGGCTTTTGAAGTTTTGTCGGTCGTGTTCTGAAGAATTTGACCAGTTGGTCTTTCTTCATTTCCATCCAAGAGCTGTATTTGTTGGAAACATCTTCTGAATTGACAGCGTCTTGGGCCCAACCATTACCAATTGACATCAACAAGTGCGGGACAGTATTCTCGTCCAAAGGCCACATAATCTGTGCCTCGGCCATCGCGATCTCTGCAGGATTATTACAGCATATTCCACCATCTAAATACAAAACACCTCGGTGAAATAGGGGGTTGGGCGAGGATGGGGCTTCGCTAGTTGCTTTTGCCACGTCATGGATTGTAAAGTTCTGTCCGGTCCTGTGTGTTGCTTCGTATACGTAGGAAACAGTTCTCAGTTCTTGAAATTGGCTTGTTAGATGAGTTTCAGCCGCGGGGGATGGAAATTTTGGCTTGCCTTGCCCCTCAGGTCGCATGTACTTCGTCATAATGGTTGGTCCCTGGATTTCATTTCATCCAAAGTCTGGTCCAACGTTGCCGTCACAAACACCCTTGTGGGGCTTTCGGATACATGTGCCTATATTGACCATGAGAGTTAGCAAAACTAGTCTCCCGTTGTATATTGCCCTTTCGTTACTTACTCATCTTCCTAATATCCTCTGGCTCGTCAGATCTTCCCCAAATGCCTCTTCGATAGCATCCTTAGGCGTCCTTTCCAGAAAGGATTTGGCTCGAAGGTTGAGTAGGCGAGTCCGGATTTATCTACGTCCCAATTTCCTATACCTATGCCAGTTGCGAGCAAATCGCCGGTGCCTAAACCTCCGATGAAATCGAAAAAGTGCCGAAAAGGAATTTCGCCACCTAAATGGTTCTCTATATCCTTCAGGATACTTGTTTGAATGACACCATGTCCACCGTCTCCATCCAAGGAGAGGATACGGCGGCCAATCTGGACTGGAAGCTGGAGAAAATGGAGAAAATGGAGTGGCGGTTCGAATAAACACGATGGATTATGTAAGTCGCAGGAACGAACCACCTTTAGCCTTTGATCCATCTCCGAGGCTGATATGGCGATCTCGGTCTGGCAAGCGTTACAGCTTCCATATCCACAGGTTAGAAGCTCTGAAGAATCATTGCGGAAACACCAAGAGCACACCATGAGACCGGAGATTTCCAGGGTTTCGACAGCTGAGTAGAGACCTTCTACAGCTGACCTGTGAATTCTCCATGTAGCGTTGCGCGTCGCTTGTGGTGTTTCTTGACTGTCGATTTCTTGGTCAAGTGACTCCAGTCCGCTGTGAAGGCTATTATCCAATTGGACCATCAATTCATCGAAAAGCTGCGACTCATATGATCCATGCCCAACAACACGCCTTGACCGTTTTGGTGGCACTCGTGAGTTGCGTTTTTGTTCACCCATTGTCCCCCTCACATACCCTGGAATTCACATTTTAAGCTCATGGAGGTGAAAAGGTCAAAGGCTTCAACGACCTGCACATTGTAGGAATTTTTGTTTGATCCCCAAAAGCTCTGAGTTGATTGGTCAGTTTCGCCGCAGGAGATGTCAACCCATCTCCCTGGAAGATTTTCGAACGACCTTGCAGCATCTAGAGCCATGACTGAGCAGACAAGTGGAGCCACAACACCGCATAATCCCGATAGAATAGAATTTCGATCGCCATTTGTGTCTAAAGTCTTGAACGTCGTGATCATCAGTTCTGAAAGCCTTGCTGCCATCTTAGCTGGGGGCAGGCGCCGCGATATCAGCTGAGCTAAGAAATCGAAGGGCTCTTTGGCCTTGTTTGAGTAGTGGTCAAAAGCAAGCCTAAAGAATTTGTCCTTACTTGGAGCCGAGAGGAGCATTCTTCTGTGAAGCTTCTCGTCCAATGATTGGTTACTAAATTGGTAGATCATCCTGTGCAGTCTGCCTAACTGCGTGGACAGACAGAAAACAGATTGTCCCTGAGGAACCTAGATGAATTGGACAGACGCAGATGAGGTTAGGAGGAGATCTTCCCGAGTATTGATTTCAATCCAAACCCTACGGAATCTGTCTGCCATTGCTTTCGCCTTGTCGTTTCCTTCTAAGATAAGTTGCTGCTTATTGAGGATTTGTTGAGCAGTCGCGATAGAGTCCCGATAGAGTCCCGGTCTGAGTCGTCCTTGGACCGATTAATGACGATTATCGGGTGAGTTAACCCAAAGCGATTGGTGGCAGATATATGCGAAACTTCAGCCCATTCGAGTAGCTTAACAATAGAATCGTCTATCTGCCGCAACAATTGGCTCTGCATAACGTTAACAACGACGTCGGAGAAGTTATACAGGAGCTTGGGAAAGAGGTATCGGACGCCATCCTGTCGTTTTTCTACCCCAGGTAAGGGCCGCCTGAACCCGCCTGTGATGTAGCTCCAGCCAGCTTGCCATCTTCGGATCTCTTGCAACCCTGGAACCGATCTCCAGTTGTCCGATCGTCGACCATGATGGGATGTAGGCCTCTGAGTTCCTGCACCAAAACCTTCGCAATCCGCCTACAATAGTGGGTGACCCACGGCCTCGTTGTCATCTATCAGTGTATCGTAATAGAGGTGTACATCTCCAGAAGCCGGGATGCTCCTTTGGCGCGGCCCCACGACTGGGGCTTTGTAGGGAGACCAAGTGTTCTTATCCCACGCCGCGCTATCTCGTCCTACAAATGTTCTATCAGAAGTCTTATTATGGCACCATTACTTCCCCATTCTTGCTAATAAAGGATACAAGGCGAGGATAAGGGGGTGCTTGAGGTGAATGCTGCCTCTGATGTTCGGACATAATAGCGACGAAACGTGGGAACTCCCGAAGCTCAAGCGAGCCAGTATCACCATCGACAGAGAACCACAAGCTATCGTCATCATCCCGATGTAGCGTGTCTAGGTTCGACAGGTCGGGGTCCAGGACCCTTTCAAATAGTTTACTTCGCCAGTGAGTCCTTGTACAGCTTTGTAGTCTGGTAAACAGGTCCTTACAACTGACTAATTGATGCAAAGGGCTTTTTCTCTTGTATGGCCCAGGGTGTAGCCAACACTCGTCACAATAAGTGCCGCACTTCTTACAGTACCAGACAGCAGGACGAGTTTCGCATTCTTCACAGACCATCTGATCATCGGAAGCGCAGGTAGGTGCCTGCGCTTCATCACCTGCGCTCGCGGGTTGCCCAGGTGATTCTTCCTCGTTACGCCATGCTGCCTCAAAATTGTCGTTTGCAGTCACCAACTCAGAAATTTCAGACTGGTCGTCTGCATCCCAAGCGTTCCTTTCTAGGATGTCAAGAGAGAAATCCATGCCATCCATCGCTTGGTGTCATTCACGAGATGATCACTGGGACAGGAAAAAGACAGCTACGGATCATCCACTAAACTACTTATATGAGAAGCGAGGAAAACCTCGCCTTAATTATATTGATGCTACGCTAGCTAATGCATGGCATTCTTTGATTGTGTCCAGTATTGCAAACTTGGATGCACAGATTTTATTTTGAGGCCAGCCGCATGGCTTGTTACCCCGCCCTGCTCAGCGACCGATATAGCAGATATCTGGCGATTCAAATAACGAAGTGCAAAGTGGCTGCAGGTAGTCGTGGTTATTTGCGTTATTTATTGGCTGTCGTCTCCGTTTCTTAATCAACAGCTGCTCATTTACTTGCTTAATCTCCTCTGCTGTCTGGGCTTGAACCTTTGTAAGTTCCTTCATCACTTCCTCCGGCAATTGCTCCATGTCTCTCGCAGCCTGTTCTTGCATTACCCTCAGGTGTCTGGTAGACTTATCATGCAGGCGTCTAAGCTCATCTGGTTTTTTCAGCCCTTCGGCTGCTTGCTGCAGGCAACCTGCGTCTTAACCGCCTGGATTTCTTGCTGGAGCTGTCGGATCATCTCCAACTGTTCGCTTATCATCCGCGTCGCCGTTCGCTGGTTGCCTATTAACGCGTCCCAGAGTCTCTCAAGCATTTTCTTCTACCCACCCACCAGATGGGTAGACGTCTCCTGGAGCATCCCTCGGAGCATAGTCTGCACGAGCGACGCGTCGTTGCCCGTCGCGTCTCCCATCATGTTGTTTATATGGCGCGGTAGTGCTGGGTGAAAGTAGATTTTATTAAACCTGATTGTCTATTATGGAAATGAGAGTTCTTCTCGTGTTTGTATCTGCAGATGATTTCATCTAGGATTTTGAACTCAAAATCTAGGACTGTCCGACCAACAGTCTGAGTCCTGAACGGAAGGGGAATTGCCGGATTTTCCAACATCATATAGACAGCAAGTAGATAGTTGGAGTGAGAAAATTGAACCATGGCATTTAGAGCCTTGCTAGCCTTGAGCATCCATCCTCGCGAAACATCCGTTTGTCATCTAGAGCAGTGCTCGCATCTAGATACCACAGTGCTTATTAAGCGTCCTCTATTCATGTACACGCATCACCTTCACCGGCCACTCAGCCAAGTGCGCCAAATCCGAGTCCTCAAGTATGCTCATGATAGAATCCGCCAGTGCGCGTCCCCATCCTCGACAAAACCAATATGCTGACGAAGACCAGCGAATTAAGCAACAGTAGTGCGACAGAATGATGACGGCCTGTGGATAACGGGCCCTGACTAAGTCCAAAAACGTCTGGGAAACCTCGGACGGCCAGACAAAGAGGATCTTCATGTCCGTAATGAAGAACTCACTGTCAGGAGACTTGTTGATATCGGCAACGCAGCTGATGAGACGATCGAGAGCGGACGTCAGGGCCAATTGGACAAACGGATCTGCTTCAAGGCCCATAGACTTGATTACTCCATCGAGATGGGATACCCTCTGCAACAAGTCCTGGAGATCGCCTCTGGCGTATCGAAAGCCATGCCGCTGCCTGAAGATGGCTTGCAATGGTCCGTTTCGGATAAGATGTAGGGACGAGCGAGTAATTGCCATCATGCCGTTGATCATGGAGAATATATCGACCAGGTTTAACAGCGCCGAGCAGCAGCTATGTTGATGGTGCTCACAATTGGGGGAGAATGCAAGCTTGCTGATGGCGAGGAAGATGGATGAGGCCCAGAGAGCGTGGCGGTTTTGCGGAGTGACGGTCTGCCCAAGCGTCCCGCGTAGGCCTCGAATCGCCAGACTCTGCTGCTTGTTAGCTAGGGCGAGATAGTGCGACCGCTTGTCCTTGTTCAGGTACGCCAGGTGGAACGAGGAAAGGGCCATGATCATACGCATGAGGTAGGGGTGGGAAAGACCCTCCCGCGGAATATCGACCTGGTATATCGTGATGGCATGTCCCGAGGGGATGGAGCGGCAGGTCACATTGGTGTAATGGAGGATGAGCTCGGCATTGGAAAGCCAGCACTCGGGTGTATCGGCTGGATCTGCCGATAGAAACGAGAATGGGACCAGAGGAGTCCCTGTGGGAGAGGCGAGCGGCCCATCATCCCCCAACGGTGATTGTGAAGGCAGGCAGGTCTGTGATGGTGTCAGTCAAGTAAGCAAGGTAAGAGATACCCCTGGCGGCTTGCCTTGGCGTCGTCACTAATGGGGGAGCAGCCATTGCTCGGCTGTTTGAGGCTCGCATCGTCGAGGCTACAGGGTATTCGATGTCGGACGCAGGATGTACAAGGGACCTTTTCATCGCACTGACACTTGGTTAGGAGGCTTCACTGATAGAGGTAAGGATTACCTGCCTTGACCTTTCTCTTCTTACATCGCAGGCAGCCGTTCTGGGACTTACGGAACCCGATGCGCTTCCTGGGCGCGGGCCGGCCTGGGATGGTCTGCACCGACGGGGGTTGTGTTGGCGAGTTCTCGGATTCGGGCATGGCGCTGCTATGTAGCATGCGACACCGAGGCGGGCTCTCAGGTTTCTTTATTTATAGTTGTTGGGTTATAACGTGTTTGATAAGCGAGTGTCCCAGATAAGCGAGTGTCCCAAAAATCCCTCACCTTATATTATCACTATTTGATCAGATAATTCTCAACCACCCAACATGTCAGAGTCTTTATATGAGGCTAGGATCCTTCTTGCCCTCCAGGCTCTCCAAAATGACCCAAAATTAAGTGGCCGGAAGGCCGCAAGTATATATCAAGTCAATTACCGTACCTTAAATCGCCGCCGGCAGGGAATTCAATCAAAGCATGATATCACCACTAAATCACGGAATCTATCTGATCTTGAGGAGCAGATAATAGTTCAATTCGTCCTTGACCTAGATTCGCGAGGATTTCCCCCGCGCCGCGATTTTGTGGAAAAAATGGCTAATTCTCTACTTGCCGACCGCGATGTATCACCCGTTGGCATACGCTGGGTTCATAACTTTATCCAACGGCAACCAGAGCTCAAGACACGTCGATTTCGGAGATATAACTATCAGAGAGCTAAATGCGAAGATCCTACTATTATTCGTGACTGGTTTCGCCTCGTAGAGAATACAGTCGCGAAATACGGTATCCAATTAGATGATATGTGGAATTTTGATGAGACCGGCTTTATGATGGGTATGATTGAGCCCGGAATGGTCGTTACAAGCTCAGAAAGGCAAGGGATGCCAAAGAAAGTCCAGCCTGGAAATCGTGAATGGATTACTGCGATCGAGGCGATTAATGCAGAAGGTCAATCGATCCCGCCGTTTA